CCTAGCCATTTCTCAAATGTTACTGTCAACAATTTGTCGTTGCTGGCAGTTTTAACGCAATCAGAACGCATGTGCGACGTGTATAGCACATGTTTTCCATGCATTTTGCATGTGAGTTTTGAGGGTGATTGCGTTCAGGCGGTGCTAACAATGTTATCAGAAAAACAATATGGGAAATGCTTTAAGTTCATCAATCGTAAAGGGTTCTCCTGCATGGCTTATATGCCAAGTAATAACTTCATATACCCATGAAGAAAATATGTGGAAAAAAATACTTGTTGCTTAACTTTTTGTGAGGAGTATATTTTGACAAGTAGACTAATGCTTAGTCTCTGAATAGATATAATTTTGATAGTAACAAACAAACCTATTATAAATTAAAAAGGAGCCCCAGGGAGACCAGAGATCCTGAACCTGGGGAAATCTAGACTTGCTTCATTTAGGGCTTTAGCACTGCAGGGAAGGCTAAGCTGTAGGGGAAATAAAGTGGATCAGGGACTGTGAGACAGACTAGCTGTGTCGAGGCATATCGCAGCCACTTTGTGAAACTCGAATCTGGGACAGTGACAAGCAGAAAACCTCCAATATCCTATGTAACTTGGGAGCAAAACATCATCTGTACAGGTAGCTGTCGCTAAGTTCTTCCACGCTAATATTCCAAGGGTATCCATTCTGCAGGAAGGGCATGATATCGTATGCGATATGGACAGTGAAGTTTAATAGATAAGTTTGGCATATATCTATATAACAGATATATCCTTCTCTCAAAGATGACGTATATTTCTGTACAGGACACCATAGCCTAAATGATAATTATCATAACATCACAGACAGAAATCCTATGGTATATTGGCATGATATCACACAGTAATATTGGCATCTAATCACATGTCGATAAACAAGATCGTGATCATCATGAACATGTCATCAGATATATCAAGAGTTGGCCATCAGTCGTTGGGGTGACACAGGGGACAGCGCTTGTATTCTGGGCATGTGATATTCACGAGCACCTGCTTATTGCAATAATATTCAAGCAGCAGAATTTGATTACGGACATTAAACATTTTCCTGGTCATAAACATGGATCCCATTGATGTACAACTGCAACAGCTGTTACAGGGCTCTCACCGTGGACATACATCATATTATTTAGACATCGTGAAGACAATTTCCAGCAACAGTTGTTCACATGAATCCAACACACAGCAGCTCACGTTGAAATACATGTTGCAGCTGGCAACTGTATCTAAAATATAACCAGCCTCAGTCTATCAATATGTGTGCACATATTCCACTAATTCTCGGAAGGATTTTTCATTCCATAAAATGTTATATCTTTGAATAGACAACACGGAAAGCAACATAGTTCCTAATGCACTGTAAAACACAGGGGGTCATCTAAAACTTATCGAGTTACCCGAATTTCGGGACATACAAAGCGACGATATTACGCTATATTACTGATGAAGACTTTATCGTATGTTCGCGCGTGCGTGCGTATGTACCTGTGTGTGTTTGACCTTGTACAAACTTATGCCGGTTATAGAGCTAGCGTACTGAGATATTCAGACACTCCGAGGAGACCAGTCCGTGTTTAATCCACCAGACAGGGAACAAGAATACCGAGGTGGTCCACGTTCTAGTAAGAACCTCATCAGTATATATGCTATAAATATTTATTTTCGAAATAATGATCGGTTCTCGAAAATGATGGATTTAAAAACAGGGGCGGATACAGCTTTTTGAGAAAGGTGGGTGCTCACTCTTGAGAAAGGAGGGGGTTTGCACACTTAATTTTCACCCGTTTTAATGGTCATTTCATAAACTTTAAGGTCAAAAGGACAAAGGGGCAGCGCGCAACCCTGCACACACAACCCCAACCCCCACAACCCCAACCCCTCTGGATCCGCCTGTGCCAACAGAAACCCGTTCCATTCTACAATAAATATCATAATATGAAATCTATGAGTCTGGCGTTTAATTCCACAGGATATCAGAAGCAAGCATCTCAATAAAATTGCCCGAGACCTCGACATGGAAGGTAACACATTCCTCAATCACGGTATTTCAGAACGAGGACATAAATACGACAACGAGGCGATAAACAACACTGATCCAGCGCTCCTGTAATCTGCGTTTCAAGATAACCTCAAACCCAGTGCTGCAATTCAAGTCTGCCAAGTCTACAAGAAACTTAAACTCTGTTTGAGATGCGTCGTTGAAGATTAATGCCTACATACCTAATGACGGTGTATGGCGTTCTGCAAGGCATGATACTATCGGCGAAGAAAGGTGAAACAGAGAGTTCTCCATACAGACAAAGCAGGCAGTCATTACAGACGTGTGAGTTACCTGCTCAAGCAGTGGCCCGGCACTGCTACGGAGCTCTGATAAACAGGGGTAGATAACTCATTAATAACAAAAATTGTATGACGTAAATCATCCCCGCGTTGGTTATATAAACGCTGACACGAGTAGATTATCAGTACCTTGTGAAATATGAAACAATGATAAATAGACTTGGTTGACATCTTGTTTGCTTATAGCCATACGTTTCTTTAATGGTATTTGATGGTGGTACGAAAACGTGCATTGAGGCAGTTTACCCGTTGTTGATAATAGAAGAAGTGTTTTTATGTACATGGTTTACGATGTAAGAAAGCTGTATCATATATCGGCATGGTGTCTCATGACCGCGTTTTTATGTAATCTTTAATATGCAAAAACAATGACGAAGTAAGCAGAGAGACACAGCACATCTTCATCATCCCCAGTGCGTCGTTTTTATGTTTTCTTTCCTTCATTCGCCTTTCGCCAAACATAATTGTGATTTATATATTTCAGCTCAAGAAAAGATTATGATGGGTTATCAGCCGGGTTTTTTTGGACAACGAGGAAGAGTTCTGTGGATATACACCTTCTTTAATATAATATGAGCGACGTTTCGGTGTAGCTACTATCACCGTTATCAAGCAAGTGTGGTTTCGGTGTAGCTACTTGCTTGATAACGGTGTTAGTAGCTACACCGAAACGTCGCTCATATTATATTAAAGAAGGTGTATATCAATAGAACTCTCCTCGTTGTTCATCACACCAACCTCTAAATGCCACTCAAAGAAGTGGGGTTTTGGACAATTATGCAAAAGAATAACTAGTTAAACTGATGAATGACATTGGTCCCTTCTAAGACCCCTTCCTTAGTATATTCACGGGGATCGGCGGCCACTTAGTTCGTGAGGTCAGATCATGCTGTACAGGGTGATATCCCTTGCTTCTCATAGGATCCACTCATTGTGGATTTTTACCTTGGTTATCAAATGAGAAATTGAAGCTAAAAGTGACGCACTTCGTATGTGAATCTATTAATCAAACTCTTTAGCAGGTTTGGTGTTGCAACAGCAAGGTTCTTAATCGGAATGAATCGAGGATTTGAACCCAGGACGACTGACGAGATCGGATGTTCAGGCCCGCTGGCTTGGTTGATGCATGTCAACGTAACCAATTGGACCGTTGATCGATGCTGATGAGGTCAATCACTAGATTGTCTAGTCCAGATTACTTACAGACTGTTGCCATATGGTTGGAATACTGATACGTGTAGCGTTTAACAACAAACAAATATAAAGTGAGTGAGTGAGTATGGTTTTACGCCGCTTTTAGCAATATCACGGCGGGGGACACCAGAAAAAATGGGCTTCACACATTGTGCCCATGTGGGGATTCGAACCCGGGTTTTCGGCGTGACGCGCGAACGCTTTAACCACCAGGCTACCCCACCGCCCCTAACAAATATAAAGCAAAATCACACAAACGACGGCGATAATGACGATGTTTTACATGACGTCAAGAGTAATGCTGATTTTACACACACAGGCTACCATTACAACAATGTTAATTACTAAATAAGATATCACAACGTAACATATTTCATATTTGGGATTACACTTGTCGGTAAAGTGCATGTTCTAGTATTTTAGTTGGGTTGGGTCCCATTCGGGATTCGAACCAACACTCTCAGAGTCAGCCATCTAACCCACACAGCCAACGCAGCTTATCACAACGGCAATTTTGTGTAGCAAAGACATCGGGGAAACCATACATGACCGCCTTGCTGTATTTCCCGTGTAAATACTGAATGAGCAGCAAAGAGATGTTCTTTGTTTATCTTACAGTAAGTGATGTTGACCTGAAGTGTCTCTGGAGAGGTGGTGATATCTACGAACGGAGATAAAACTGCCTTACAAAAACCTCTGCGAAAGTTTTGGAAGGAATGACGTGACAAATCGTTGGCATCTTGCCAAGTCATCCCCAATTTGACTTAATCTAGGGCTTGTTTATCAAGAACAGTTCTTGCAGCTAGATGAACACTTCTTGACGATGCTTGAAGGGGTTAATTTCCGAGTGTGACCTATTTCAAATTGGACTGTCTGCTAGTACTAATGAGTCAAAATTTACTCATACTTCCAGAAAATATGAAGGCAATGCAGGAGACACAGATAATATAGTCCCCGAAATAAGGTTATGCATAATATTTTTAGCTGAAGAGGCTACGTACAGGCTACTAGAAATGAGATGGAGGTTTTGATATAGATTTAAATGGGGGTGACTGTTTTATAACAAATAAGCTCAGAGTCTGTACGGGAAACATTTCGACAAGTCCACAATTTGAAATATGACTCATATGGATTTAAAGATACACGATTTTGTGCAGCGAGAATAATATTCATCATGAGTAAACAAAGGAAGTTGTTTTTCGTCCAAACAAAAGTCTCTTGTGGGAAAAGTAAAGTTGATACTAGCCTATCCAGTTGCTTATATCATCATTATGAAGCATATTCATGATACGTGTTTGTGATATGATTAATACTTAGTTAATTACAAGCACGGACATATTTTCAAAGTTGAGGAGAGGAGGAAACAGAGACAGACTTGTCTACTTTAGTACTTCAATGACCCGACACAAAGTAAACACGGAGGATACACACACATCAACATACCTGCTTATCTTCACAAGAAATGTGGCAAGAAAACTTGAGCACTATAATTCCAATCCGATGTAACAACTTCTTTCTTTGTTGATGGAAATCCTATGCGGCAGACCTTCCGTCCAAATTCGCAGCTGTTCTGTTGAACTGGATCGTAATTTTCTCTCCATGCATCTGAGCAGAGACCAAAACCCGGAACTCGTCTGCGATCGTAGAAGCAGACGACATTCGATGCTGCTTCCGAACTGTAACTTAATCGTTTTGGACGAGTCTATTACGTTCAAAGGGGTGTTTAGTTGTGCCGCGGAATATATCCGCCCGGTTTCTTGTCGGATGAAAACCGTAGACAGATGCTTCGCGGGGGTGAGGGATGGTATAGGCTGTAAGTAGCAAGATGGCAATCTAATCCTCTGCCTTGAGATGCTCGTTACAAATTTAATCAGACACATATGATCAAAGAAACAGCATTAGTCCATTTCGGCCTGCGTCTAAACAACATTTTTACGTCTGCTTCCTTTGAAATGTACAACTCCGACATGTCATTGTGAGAAGTTAGCGTCAAACAGGACATGCTTTCCTTTGTCTGAAATAACACTCCAGTGTAAACTCCCGCCATTATCAGTGCTAGACCATTGCAACAGTTGTGCATTCCTCTCTTCTTATATAATTCAGACAAACAAACGCTGGGATTAAGCATCAATGGACCATAACGATTCAAGTTTTCATGATCGTGTTTGTTTTCAGATGACAAACCGATGTACTTCAGATATATGTTATTTTAATTTTTAAAACAATTTAGGAAATTGATTATCAAGCTGTCGCCATGACGTTGGGTGAAGTTATAACATTAGACTAACGCTTAGTCTCGGAATATATCATTTAGATTGTAACAAATAAACCCATTTAAATTGAAAAGAAGCCCAAGGGAGACCAGAGATTCGGAATCTAGACTTTCTTCATTTAATTAATGTTTTAGCACTGCATGGAGGGCTAGACAGTAGGGAAAATAATATGGTTCTGGGTTCAGGGACTATTATTACATATGTGTGAGCATGGGGGTCCCGTGGGCTGTATGTCGCAGCAGTCCAGCATGTAGAGTTGCGTCCCTTTGTGTGTTATGATCGCGGTTTAAATCCCAGATTCGCTCTAAATATGTTTCTAAGTCTGCCAGAATCATATTATTAGCCAGGGCTTATGTTATTACTATACGCTTGACATGGCCTATATATTTAATTAGGGGAAGTATAAAGTACTACGTGATTTTAATATTTTAACATGAAGTCCAATCTGTGACAATGAGTTCGAATCCGCTTCACCCAGATCATGTTCCTGCTTCATCAGTACCGCGGGTTTCACCATTACGATAAACAGCTAAGACGTGAGTCACTTTCTGCTTTCCTCCACCTCAAGTGTGAGGGTTTTTCAACATGTCAAAACAGAGCTTATTTCTTGCTTCCTTAAATCAGGTGAATCTAAACAACATTTGACAAAATGGAGGCCAATGTCATTACTTGATGTATCTTACAAAATGTTTATAGCTACAGCGGCAATAGAATCTAATAAAAGAAAGCATAATGGTGATTACCTGTGAAGATCCGGGTTAACTTGATCGCTTGTCGTAAGAGGCGACTAACGGGATCGGGTGGTCAGGCTCTCTGACTTAGTTGACAACATGTCACCGTATCCCAATTGCGTAAATCGACACTCATGCTGTTGATCACTGGACCGTCTGGTCCAGACTTGATTATTTACAGACCGACGCCATATAGCTGGGATATTACTAAGTGCAGCGTAAAACTAAACTCACTCACTTAAATGCTGTTCTAAGCGAAATGGGGGCGGTGGGGTAGCTAATGGTTAAAGCGTTGGCTCGTCACGCCGAAGACCTCGAATCCCCACATGGGCAAATGCCCATTTGTGGTGTCCCCTGCCATGATGTTGCTGGAAATGCGTGGCGTAAAACCAAACTCAGTCATTAAGCGAAATGCGGCAATTAAGATGACTGTTCCGCCCTTTCGTCACGAAATAAATTACAAACTCAGATAGTGGTTATTGTTCTTTTAACGCCGCACTCTGATCATTCCTTCTACAGAAACTGTATTTACATACAACACTACTCATGGTTCAATAGACATTCGAACCTCATCGACAGGACATCGAACACTTTAACCATCAGGCCACCCACACGTAGTTTCCAGCTGAGAACATCCACGCGTCATACCTTGAACCTAGGAAAACATCCTAACCCCGGGGGTGTACACCTGCAGCATCCCCGAGCTATACTGCCTGTATTCCCTAGTCAGTACTTGTGTAGGCTAACGACCCATGGTGTAATAATTACTGGTGAACCTAGCCTTATCGCCGTCCAATGAGTCAATAGCTAATACACTAAATTGGTTGTACTTCCAATTAACGATATGTACCGTTTTGCCCTCAGAACATCAAACTTTGGTAATGTAGGGCAGACTGTAACAGTTCTGGAAAGTCGTTAAGGTTACCATAGTATAATGCGTTACAAACTGACAGGGAATAACAGTCATGCTCCATGTAGGTCATGTGACATATGAGACCTCGGGGAGTATTATTGTACATGTATATACCGGTTTCCAGATACTATTAAAGAATTTGAGCTGCAGTGGAATCGAGCCAACTGATAAATACTGATAAACACGGAAGTATGATTTAAAATTAGCAAAATCTTTCACACACAATTGCTGATTCCAAATGTATTACAAATTTAGAAATATACAGCTTGGATTAATCGCGCATCATAGTTTTCCGAAACGGTTCACTCCCAAAAGACAGTCAGTGGGTACACTAATTAGCTGAGCCATGCTGTCCACCCCTATTTAATTAATGAGCTGACCCAGAGTCACTACAGAGTATGGTAACAGCACACTCCTATCTCCTGTGCTCTTCTCAAAACATATTACTTATCCTTTCACTGAACAGAACAGAATAGAACCGAAATTTTATTCTAAAAAATCACATATAGTGACACAGAACATACAGCATATTGATACATATTATAACATTGAGCAAAGTCCAGTTTTGATAAAATTGGCAACTTTAGAGTTATGTGGTGAATAATCACATTTCATTAGATAAACAAATTTTTCAATAGTACGATGTTTACAGAAATATTGGGGAAGAAATTGATTTAGTGGTGGATAGTATAATAAAAAATGAAGTTCATCACAGACATCTAAATTCACACACTGTTTCCATTCTTTACAATACTGGTCAAACACATTCAAAGTTTTTTTGCAATCCATCACTTGATTCAGCTAATATGACAGTATCGTCAGCGTAAAGTAATATCAACAATTTCATGAATATACCAAGCTGGTCCTCAATAAGCCCTTTTATATGTTGTTGAATTAGTTTTTGCAAATAACTGGAGAACAGGATGTTTTTATTGCTGAAGATTTCCCGTGACTTTTTTCCGATCAACCTTCTAGATGGCTACCTGTATGCCAAGAGCAAGGTGAAAGAAGAAAATGATGATGTTCAAGTGACTTTCTAACTAAGTGTTATCTGTGCTTTTATCTGACATGTGATGTAAAATACTGCGGTGCCTTGTCTCATCTGTTTGATAGGTACATGTTGTTTTAAGCAGTCTGTCTTTTGGGCACTCTTTTGGGAGGTGGTCTGTCTTTTGGGAGGATTGTCTTATTGGAAGATACCTCCGAAGCATACCATTGACGAACTGTTACATCGGCATACATAGCCAACACACTCACTTATTTGCATTATCCCTTTATTTGCATTATCGAGGTTCTGGGTTGTTCTTTCATTGAAATAACAACCGTTAATACAGTTTGAAAAGATACGCAGATTATGGTAAACGAAAAGGTTTCGAAGACGAAATTGAAATTGTACCATAGAAAAGGGTCTCTCTTTACTCTTTAACTCGTTAACTACAACAACTCAGTACCGAGATAATGGCTGGAATTAACGAAGACAGGTTACAGGTGTTCAGGCTTCATGTGTTTATATAATACATGTAGTATCGTCGTAGAAAATATCTCCTGTACGAATCCCAAATCGTTTGATAATGTTTCTTAAAGTGCCAGCACCATCATTCACCTCAGGTCAGGTATATAAATCTATGTCTGGTTATCCTTCTTTTCTTCTATATGTCTATACATACCCTCATCAGCTACCCAAATTCTAATATTTAATTTTTCAACTAATGCTAGTGCTCCCCAAGCATCAAAACGTGTTGACATAAAGACAGTGTTATGTTCAAAACAGGCTTCCATACATGTCGATCAGCTACTCCCGTGTACACTATCAGACCCGTCGCTGCTCTCACACGCATGCGCCATCATATTCGTGGATGCACATCTGTGGCTGAATGTATGGACGTTGTTAAAGATACAGGCTACCAACAGTTACTTCCCATGACAATTTGTATAGCCTTTCACATTGATTTTAATATCACGAACGAACGAACGAACAAATACACTCACTGACTCACTCACCCACTCTCACTCACCCAGTCTCACTCACTCACTCAACCACCCACCCGCTCGCTCGCTCGCTCACTCACTCACTCACTCACTCAACCACTCACCCGTTCGCTCACTCACTCACTCACTCACCGACCCACTCTCACTCACTCACTCACTCACTCACTCACCCACTCACTCAACCACCCGCCCGCCCGCTCACTCACTCACTCACTCACTCCTGTGAGTATTAGCATGGGTTCCCCGATATACGTTGTCGGTCAATAGGTCTTTCAGTACAGGTTATTGCTGCACACACTTTCCAGATCAATATGAACGTATGTCGTATGAACCACTTTAAATGTATGGTCATATATCCTCATACTATTCTGTTGTATATTTAAGGTGTATACATATGCATGTCAGCACTGAAGGCAGTTTGGCAATCCAAGCTATTTTAATTAAAACACAACCCTATGTACTAAAATCTAAAAGTTAGCAGTTAATACTTAAACAATAAGAAACAGACAGGGTATAACTTTAACACCTAAACTGTCGGCCAAAAAGAAAGTATACCTCGAACTTTGACGCTGCATGATAACAGTGAGTGAGTGAGTTTAGTTTTACGCCGAACTCAGCAATATTCCAGCTATATAGCGGCGGTGTGTAAATAATCTAGTCTGGACCAGATAATCCAGTGATCAACAGCATGAGCATAGGTCTACGCAATTGGGAACCGATGACATGTGTCAACCAAGTCAGCGAGCCTGACCACCTCCCGTTAGTCGCCTCTTACGAAAAGCAGCTGAAGATCAGTTTTTACCCGGATCTTCACGGGTGATATCAGACAGGATCTGACAGTAGAATTGTGAATGTTTAAGTGTATTTGCTAGTGTCATTTGCCAAGCGGTATATTCATCTGAAAATTTGCAACAGCCGGTAGACTAAAGTAGCCCCATTAAGCATCAACCATTTAAGCATTTGTCTTTGCTTGTACATAAACCATTTTTCATTACAAATTAACATTTCTCAATTCTTGGCAATAATATTGTAAACATTTATTCTGAATAGCTATCAGTTCGAAGGAAGGATAACATTTATATTCACGAGTGTAGGAAAATCAATATGGGCAATATATTAAACCTGTATGGGTATTCTTCAACCCTACAGCATCCACGGTGTCTGCTTGATTAAGTACTCGACCGGTGAGTCGGTGCAAGGCTAACACGACGGCAGAACTCACACTTTAGCTGATGCCTTCTTCATTCGCACGAGTTACAGCGCTACCGTACGCTGTACAAAAACTGCATGCTAATAAACCGAGAAAGAGACGAGACGTTGAGTGTTTGATAAATTATGTAGTGCGTTTCGAGACAACCGACAATCGGACATATCTGATTCGACCTATGGTGTAATCGATGTTCGTTGAAAGAAATGGTGTAATCGCTGGGGCCGGCACTAAGTTCGACACATAGGATAGATCGACACATCGGCATTCAGCTGTACTTTTCAGACATATGTGTCTTTTGTTAAATATTGAAAAAGCAATATTAACGATTGCTGGATGTAAAGTCAAATTTACGTGTATATTAGGCTAAGGCTACTGATCAAAAATTCAATACTGCGGATCCGGGTTAGAATATTGATCTTCAGTAACCCATGCTTGTCGTAAGATTCGACTAACGGGATCGGGTGGTCAGGCTCGCTGACTTGGTTGACACATTGCATCGGTTCCCAATTGCGTAAATCGATGCTCATGCTGTTGATCACTGGATTTTCTGGTCCAGACTCGATTATTTACAGACCGCCGCCATATAGCTGGAATATTGCTGAGTGCGGCGTAAAAGTAAACTCACTCACTCCAATACTGCGTATCAGCTCAAAGTAAGAGGAAAGCCTAAGTGAAACATTCTATAAGCCCAGACAAGCGGAGTAACCAAGAATCATATTTGCGCTGTAACTGGGATTCGAATCCATGACCCTAGAATATGGAATTTAAGGGACACAACTCAAGGCTTTTTGTCAGAACCGTCTGCAAATATCATTGAATTCAACCTGATTCAACACACTGGCAGTCATCACCAACAATGAGCTTCGGCATTGACAGTTCAAGCCTATTATAGAGGAACTACGGTATATGTAATTATATGCGTTTCTACATGAAGACACACAGCAGCATGTGCGATACAAGTGACATTTCATTCCATCGTGAAATATGATACGAAATATTCATACGTGTGTAAAAAAATAGGTTATACATTTGTAACAGCAAAGAAACGTTGGGAAGTATTTGGTAAATAAACAAATAAACAAACGATAAATAGATATATATGTTCTGATTACATGCATGACACGAGAACAGAAATCGTGCCTGTGTGAGCAACAAACATGAGTGAGTGAGTGAGTGCGGTCAACTCTGCTTTGAAGTGTGTTTCAGAGATGTCATGAGGTGAGCTTAAAGGGCAACTGGGTACTTGAACGAGGCTGGCTTACTCGCAAGTGGTTTGTAATCAGTTGCAGCCTCAAATTGTCTAATGGGTGTCAAACAGTTAATGAATATCCGGTTGAGAGACGTTACTCATCTCAAACAAGATACTAAACTGACGCATAAAAGAAACCTCTTGTCGTTCGGGTTGGCCACACTTACAAAATCTTGGTAGCTTGTAAGTCACAAATAAAACACTTTTCAAAATATTTACATTGTTTTCCAAAATATAGTCCCAAAACACCAGGCGTGTACTTTACTGTGTACGTCAGTTCAATACCAGGGGCCTAGCTGCCATTATGAAAAAGCCCGGGCTTACACATGATTCTAGCTTACATATAAAAGGTTGGGCAAGCCCTCAATACTATCTAGATGTAAAGCTTTACAACCTATCAGGCTTACACGAAACAAATGGCTTGCTACGTGCCTGAATTCATTATTTAAGATGAATTTAACTGAGTAAAACTGTCAGTATAATTATATCGTTTAGGATCCCGGAGCATTGTTCCCCTTTGAGGGAGTGAGTGAGTGAGTTCAGTATCCCAGTTATTGTTCCCCTTTGAGTGAGTGAGTGAATTCAGCATCCCAGTTGTGGCACGGAGTTTCAGCTTCATCTTGAGAGGAAACCCTGAAGTGATGCTGGTCTTAAACGTCTCCCGAAGTGAAACCCGCGAAGACGGGCATAGTGTAGTCTATTCTCACAGTCCCTGAACCATATAATTTCCCTTCGTTCTAATCGAAGAGTGAGTGAGTGAGTATGGTTTTACACAGTTTTCAGCAATATTCCAGCAATATCACGGCGGGACACACCAGAAAGGGGCTTTACACATTGTACCCATGTGGGGAATTGAACCCTGGTCATCGGCGTGACGAGCGAACGCTTCAACCACCATGCTACCCAATCGCCCCTCCTAATCGAAGACTTAAACGAAGCAAGTCCAGCTTTTCCACCTTTTTAGTTCAAATGGCGTTATTTGTCTCTTCCAAAATCATATATTTTCAGAGACCGATTGTTAACCAAAGGTTTAGTTCTGGAAACCCAGAAACGTGGTCGGAGAAAACCTAGATTCGAACCCATGATCATAGATATCATATTTCTGTCACGCCTAAGGGACGCAACTCCGCCCAGCGAAATACGACCTTCCTTTGTGTCACATACACTCTATGATGACCAGGTAAATATAAATAACATTAAAATCTATCATTTCCTGGATATATAAATCATGTCTGAACCGGGAATGAGAACTTACGACACATTTGAAGTGAATACATCCCCAATTATAAAAGGCATATTATATCTCCACTCTATTATAATGAATGCCCTGGACAACATTCGTTAACGAAGCTTCTTTTCTGTAGTAACAAACCTAACATATCAAGTGTTGTAAAGTAGTTCAATGTGTAATTAAAATATTATACCGAGATATAGTTCAAATAGCGTTCAACCCGTGTGAAATGGCACAAAGCATTTATCCCACTATAACGTAGATATAATTCCCTGAAATACCGAGGATGACAAACCTTCAGATAACATTTATCCAGATTATACGTATTACAACCAAACCGAATGAACAAGGCTCTGCTTAGCATCCTTTAAACGTTTGACTTGGGAGAAAGAATGTTGGATGGTCATTCAGATAAAATAGCATGCGATAAAGTCGTTACGTGGCATGGAGGAAGGCTGTTGCATCCCTATCAGGCTCGGTTACTATGTGTGACTGTCGAGCTTACGTTATCAGGGCTTCGACTTTTGTACTCTCCACCTCAACAATAGGCGGTTTGTGTCCACTCCCCAAAGATATGTACATGAACTCAACGGATATCACTGGGTCATGGCGAGAGGTAAGAAAATGCCAAATTACTGCCTTTATTTACATCATTAGCGAATAACTAAGGTATTCCCATCCCTCGTAGTTTGTATCAGGATTATTTGAACATATACCACACAAAATTCTGCACATGAATATATACGTCTATTCTACATTTTTTAATATTTTGTATGAATTTTGACAATGGCATGTGTGCGTTTTCACTGTTTGGATTATTATCATGAATATTTTATATGTGATGTGATTAATGTTGATGAAATATTTTCCTTTAAGTTATCTGTTTGGCTGCATTACTGTTTCTCGTCGACTTCCGGGTCAGCCGGTGCGTTTCCGGTCAGCTTGATACCAGTGTGTGTACACCGAATTGGAATGATACAGGTATGAATAATGTTTTTTGATGTGTGTGTGGCAAAGGTCTCCCATGATCGATTCTACTCAGATGATGCTGATATGAGCCTCGATCTACGTTCTTTGAGTACGATGCAACGCAATCGACAAACGACGAGAAGAATAGTGAGTGAGTGAGCGAGTTTAGTTTTACGCCGCACTCAGCAATATTCCAGCTATATGGCGGCGGTCTGTAAATAATCCAGTCAGGACCAGACAATCCAGTGATCAACAGCATGAGGATCGATCTGCGCAATTGGGAACTGATGACATGTGTCAACCAGGCCAGCGAGCCTGACCACCTGATCCCGTTAGTCGCCTCTTACGACAAGCAAAGTCGCCTTTTGTGGCAAGCATGGGTTGCTGAAGACCTATTCTAACCCGGATCGTCACGGGTCGACGAGAAGAATAAGCTACTGGGGGGCCTATTCTGAACCCAAACACTTGCTGGATCCTGGTGGGATGGGGGTAGTGATTGGAATAGGGGCGATGGTCGGGGTTGACCACCGGGGTTGGATCGTGACATTTCTGAATGTTGTAGTTTAATTGTGAGATGATGGTGTTGGTACGACTTGGTGCTTGTCTTTTAATCCTTTGTCTATACTAACAACTCGTCTTTGAAATGAAAATATTTTACAGAAAAAAAAGCTAAAAGTGAAAAAAATAAAATGTAATGAAAAGGAGCCCTGAGACTTTCTTCATTTTCAGAAATCTAGACTTGCCACATTTTCTAGACTTGCGTGGGTTTTCTTGGATATATTTACTTCAGGGGCTGTATGACAGACTAGCCTTTATCAGGAGTGAGTGTTTAACGGTGCAGTAACAAGTTTGCAGTTTTTCGTCAAAAAGTAACGATGCGTTATAGGGTTTAGTTTTACGCCGCTTTTAGCAATATTCCAGCAATATCACGACGGGGGATGCCACAAATGTCTGCACATATTGTACCCATGTGGGCAATCGAACCCGGGTCTTCGGCGTGACGAGCGAAAAGTAACAATGAAGAAATACGTCTATGCTATAATAATTCGCCCATTAATCTGCCCACCAATTGAACCATTTTAAATGCTTAAATCGGATTAACGAGTTGGAGAATGAAATTTCTGTCATGTTGATATGAAAACCTTACAAGGTGTATCTTTATGTTTCTAAGCCAGCGCTCTGCCGGAGTTAGCAGATACATACCTTGCCCGAATGGAATGGAAAGTCATTGAGCAGAAGAAATGGGTCTATGTGGAAGAATTCTTTGACGGACCGGGCAATAGAGCAGCCCTGAGGCTGACCGGGGTGTATGACCCAGGGAAGGTCGTGTTGTTTATATCGGACTACACAACCAACGAATACTTCACTATACAAGGTATGCGTGTAAGTGAGTGAGTTAGTTAATATTTATCGTCACATCGGATATATTTCAGCAACATCGTGACGGGAACCAATTTGGCATTGATCACAAGGTATGCATTGGTTCTACTCTTGGGGCAAGTCTAAGATAGGAAGTTAAACAATCTTTTCTCAAAATATATTTGTTTTTGTTTGGGTTTGAGGGGGGGGGGGGGTGTTAGGTTTAATAGCTTCGTTGATTTTGATATGTGTTTGTTGGTTTGGGGTTTTGTTTTTGTTTGTTGTATTTTTGTTTGTTTTGTTTTTTGGGGTTTGTGTGTGTGTGCGTGCGTATGTGTGTTGGGGGTGGGTGGGGGTGGTGTGTGTGTGTGTGTGTGTGTACGCGCGCGCGTGTGTGTGCGTGTATGCGTGTGTTGTTATGGTTATGACACAGTGAATTGCTTTTCTCAAAGCTGACATATAATGCAGTTCTTCTGAAACTAATTGGGGATTTCCCACCACTTTTCCCATCATTAAACTATCCCAGGAATGTAAAATTAACTTTTATGTTGACATTTTATATATAAGATATAGTTTTAGGTTCAGGTATTCAACGATCCTTGGTTCAGTTACCGCCGTTCTACTTCTAGATAATACGTGTGCAGTGACGAAGCTTGCTGCCGGTGATACGTTCACCTTACCATTCCAAAGTGTCAATGGAACAGCAGGTTTGTACGTTTCATCGTTACTGGGTGAATGAATGAGTGAGTGAGTGGTTGTAAGGGTTTATGGGAGTGGGCCAGTTTTAAGCCGCCCTCAGCAATATTCCAGCTATATGGCGGCGGTCAGTAAATAATCGTGTCTGGACCAGACAATCCAGTGATCAAGGGCATAAGCATCAATCTACGCAATTGGGAACCGATGACATGTGTCAATCAAGGCAGTGAGCCTGACCACCCGATCCCGTTAGTCGCCTCTTACGACAAGCATGGGTTACTGAAGATCTATTCTAAACCGGATCTTCACGGGTATCTCCGTCTAAACAGGGTTTCGTTATATAGAGGCGCCCGTATGAATGTTCGCCCTACCTTTTTACAGCCGAGGTCCTGAGCGTGCAAAGCGCTGAAGTTCGGGCAGTTCTACAATGAGACATACAAGGGCACAGCCACAGTGAGGAACATCTCGGCGCTGTACTGGGAGAGTTGCACCTACCACCATGACACACAACAAACGATCAAGATCGACTTCTACTTCTCAGGTAAATTCAGCTAACATCTTTAGTTTGTAAAGAATCAAATTATGAACCCAGAAATCAAATACCAACATGTGGTCGCCCTTTGTGTGATATAACATTATATTCGATTCAATTTGATATATCTTATTTATTCATGAGTGTCAAATGAAGTGGAGTGTTGTACTCAGCGACACAGGCCCAAGTACAATAGGAAACCCACCTGTTTATAATACATTAGATTCCATCACACAGGGGTTATATATTTTCTTATAATTCCATTCTTAAAGAAGGCTAGATTTTTTAATTTCCAAATGTATTACTTTTTCACGAAATACATGATTGGCAGGTTGGCGAAAAATAGAAAAAAAAGTATCACTTTAATTTTTTAAGGCCTTACCTGAATATATTGCAGAATTGATTGAGAAAGTCACGTTTTCTCACATTAATATTTTTGGTAATCTTTTGTTGTAAATATGTTTCCGTGTAACACGTCATTGCGTCTTTCACAGATTTCCCTCCAATGCAGGCGAATCTGTGGGGTAGCCGAGTGGATAAAGCGTTCGCTCGTCAAGCGTAAAACCCAACTCACTCACTCTAATGCACGTCACCGTGTTTATGTAATAGTGTTGAGCGCCACGGTATTATCCTAGTTCATTTGATGAGAGTCATGACAACTGTTGATTCAGAAGAAAATATTTTCATCTTTTAGTCTTTCTGTCTTATACAAGCTATATATGCGTATGTTATATTTGATCTACTATTAATGTGTTAATTCTAGGCTATACACGCCGAAGGCCCGGGGTTCGATTCCCCACGTGGGTGCAATGTGTGAAGCACATTAAATTTCTGGTGTCCTCCGCCGTGATTTTACTGAAACATTGCTAAAACCATAACGCCGCTTTTAGCAATATTACAGCAATGTCATGGCGGGGGGACACCAGAAATGGGCTTCACACATTGTACGCGAGTGGGAATCGAACCCGGGACTTCGGGGTGACGAGCGAACACTGTAACCACTAGGCTACCCCACCACCCTGTATTTCAATCAATCTCCACGAGGAAGGAACAGGTGTGAGACGTCTACCACTCCACACATAGGTGCATCGGTGTAAATAGCATGTCCAGTGCATGTCCAGTGCATGTCCATTGCATGTCCATTCCATGTTCATTTCGCCAATCACAGAACTTTGGAATTAATCAGTTTACAATTGTTCCATTCAGACTTACCTTTGGAAATCTGTCATACGCTTCGTTCCCTCTGTTGTCAGCTGGTGTAGCTGAACAAGCAAGCCTGTTATATCAGCGTTGTAAATGAAAGAGTTGAGATAATCGCCGTCAATTGGTCGATTACAAACTGGGTCCACAATGCGCTGTGAATGAACAAGTGGCACTGTTGAGCGGATGTAATTGCTTCTGAAATAAACATCGGAAATAGCCCTCGGTTGCTATTTCAGTAGCTACTGACACTGTCTGCTTTGTTTCGATATGAAATGCAGACATAGTCCATGACTTGTGCCTGCATGTCAGTTTCAGTGATTAGGTATTAATATACAGTACCGGACAAAACACACTATACACTCGAAAACTCAATTAGACAAGACAAGTACAAACGTTATCAAAACGTTGCTATATATGTTGAAAACAGTAGCCGAAAAAATATTCCAAAACAGAAAAAAATAAGTCCCTATCAATACATGATTATCAAATAAACATTTTGTTTTGTTTTTTTCTTTTGTGTTTATGAGTAAGGACATTCTCAGTTGAGATCCCCTGGTCTTTTGGAACTGCTAAACGTTTGAATGTTAAATTCACAAGTTTCTGTTGTTTCTGACTGATGTTTGACTTCAGACGGCACGACGTGGACCTCATCGGTGATATATGGTAATATTGAATGTATACATATTATAACCCAGAGTTGTATTACGTTTGACTTGAGACGGCAAGACGTGGACCTCACCTGTCATATAGGGTAATACTGAACGTATAGCTATTATAACCCAGAGTTGTATTACGTTTGACTTCTGACGGCAAGACGTGGACCTCATCTGTCATATAGGGTAATACTGAACGTATAGTTATTATAACCCAGAGTTGTATTACGTTTGACTTGAGACGGCACGTGGACCTCATCGGTGATATGTGGTAATATTGAATGTATAGTTATTATAACCCAGAGTTGTATTACGTTTGACTTGAGACGGCACGACGTGGACCTCACCGGTCATATATGGTAATATTGAATGTATATGTATTATAACCCAGAGTTGTATTACGTTTGACTTGAGACGGAACGTGGACCTCATCGGTGATATGTGGTAATATTGAATGTATAGTTATTATAACCCAGAGTTGTATTACGTTTGACTTCAGACGGAAAGACGTGGACAACTCCTTCTGGTGCCATCATGGCGCCTATCAGGAGCTTGATCCATAGAAAAATCGGCACCGGCACCAACAGCTATGAGTCACACGAACAATACGACATCGTCTACTTCCAAGAGTACATCGATGATTACAGTGTATTTCAAGTAAGTATAATCTATGATTACGCCCTTATGGCTAGAACTTCACGCCATGTGGCATGTCATGTTCATTTGGGAGAAACACCTGAAGAGGCGGGCTCACATGTTTGTCATTTTGGTGGAAATAGGGAGATGGATATGGTGCGAAAAAACTTTGAAACAAAATAAGTGCGAATTCACGATTATAGATTCCTGGCACGCCTAAGGGAGGCAATTCAGGGTTTTATGTCCTTTTGACGTTCGCTGCACTTTTGTATGCCGCTGTGAGTGAGTGAGTATAGTTTTACGCCGCTTTTAGTAACATTCCAGCAATATCACGGCGGAGGACACTAGAAATGGGCTTCACACATTGTACCCATGTGGGAATATCGAACATGGGTCTTAGACGTGACGAGCGAACGCTTTAACCACTAGGCTACCCCACCGCCCTGTGTGCCGCTATAGTAGTATCAGTTCCCACACCAGGACCAAATTACGCAAAAGTGATTTCATCCCAGTGCAAGTCACTCCTCTCAGGAATATAATTGATTATAGCGTATTCATTTGGATATATCCTTATCGGCAGGGTACCATAACTGATACACATTTATTTGTTTTTATGTACACGTCAACGTTATTTCTTGTTACAGTAAGTATGTTCTCCAAATTAACTCACACCCAGTGAGAATCTACCTTTCAGTTTATCTTTGTGTTGTTACATGACAGTGTAAAACAGTTATTTACACACACACACACCACCCGACACACACACGCGCACGCACGCACGCACACACATACACAGACCCCCACCACACACACACCACCACCACACACACACCTCCCAGGGAAACTCCAGTCGTGACTGTTGTATGTTTCAGATTCCAGGGGGCATCTACTGCGACGGGCGGAAGAATACAAAAACTACTCCTAATGTACCGAACTACTTTTCCTTCCGAGCAGAGATGATTGTCCCACATTACAACGCTATCGGGGCTTATGACGTAAGATAACATTTGTATTCTTATATTTAATTGTCTGTTATGTATGTTGATGATGATGATGATGATGATTATTGTCACTCTGAAGTGTGTTAAGCCCTTAACTGGTTTCTTTGCCGAGGTCTTTCTGAAATGTTGCTAAAAGCGCCGTAAACTCGCCCCACTCACTCAAGTTATATATGACAGCAGCATCGTCGTATTTATCGTATTCAACGTTGTAGTTATTGCTGTGGTCACCGAGGTCACTATCATTAATATTAGTGGATGGCCAAACACAAAAGAAAATATTCAGATCTTTGACCTTCAGGAATGGTACGACTATAGCCGGAAGATGGTGCGCATTGACTCGAAACCAATGCCAGGGGGACTGGTCTTCGTGCCGATGGTTGCCAGAAGAGAAATCCACGACTTCAACGCAGGTACACACTGAACCTCTTTAACCCGGACTATCCAGCTCATTTTGAAATCGTCCGTGTAAACACTTGTCCGAATTATAGTATAGTCGAATTATAATTCGATTCCCCACATTGATACAGTTGGTGAAGCATTTAATGGCATCCCCGCAAAATGTTGCTGAAATATTGCTAATTGTTAATGTCGATTTGAATATAAACGTTCCAAACATTATTGGATAGATTGGGTTTCCAGATAAATAGGGTAAGAACTTTCAAAAACCGGATTAGCGATTCGTGGATGTTACGTTTTATCACCTCGATAGACATTCCTAACCAAAATTGTCAGGGAGGCTTCCGGTTTAACAGCAGGGTTTCACTTTAAATAATTACTGTGCACATGTCTAACTGTTCATATGGATTTCCGTGTTCTTTTGTCTTTATCTTGGGGTCTTTTTTTCGTTTGTTGATGTGGGCATTTTCTTTTACATCTGTCTTCGTTTATATTGTTTTGGATATTTGTGTGTTTGTTGATTAATGGTTTGGGTGCCTCTTTTACTTTTATTTATTTAAGGAGTGAGAGGTGTGTGTGTGTGTGTGTGTGTGTGTGTGTGTGTGTGTGTGTGTGTGTGGGTGATGGGTGTTTTCTCTCCCTTTCTTGTTGTGATGGTGGGTAGGTGTTTGTTTGGAGATGTGTGTGTGTGTGTGTGTGTGTGTGTGTGTGTGTGTGTGTGTGTGTGTGTGTGTGTGTGTGTGTGTGTGTGTGTGTGTGTTATGGTCGTTCCGTTATTGTGTCGCACCCATACCCATACCTGCTTCAGAGGTGAGCGTCAGCGACCTGCATAAATCTCTCATGTGGTCGGTTTGACGTACGGCACTCACATACAGCTATTCGTCACCTGAGCAAAGCAAACCTCATCATCGTTATCTCGAAATGTCAAGCTCAGTCTTGGCCAAATTAGGGACTTTTTTTAATATTATTTAATCCCCCACTGAAATGCGTGGGATATCCGCTTTACCGGTAGCCCAAAACTACCATTTCCGTTCAACGCCATGTGACAAAGTGGATTTGGGGTTATGTCACTGAAGGTTTACATGCCACTGGATAAGTCAGACGAAGACAGCAGATGAGAGAGTAATGTTTGAAGCCGCTATAAGAAAGCATTCAGGATCGTTTTACTCAAAAGAGTGAGTGAGTGAGTGAGTATGGTTTTAAGCCGCTTTAAGCAATATTCAAGCAATATAACGGCGGGGGACACCAGAAATTTTCTTCACACATTGTACCCATGTGGGGAGTCGAACCCGGGTCTTCGGCGTGACGAGCGGACGCTTTAACCACTAGGCTACCCCACCGCCCCTGAGAGTAAGGAATGACTTATAGCTGATATCGCTATGCAGAACAGAACCCAGTTCAGTCATGACGGTCAGTATGAGAAATCGCTTCACACATAGAATCGACTCGGGGAATCGATTAACAAGCCAGTGCTTTCACCACTTGGCCACCCGACCGTGAGAACGGAAGCCCAATGCTAGACGTTCTTGACTGTGCTAGGTTTATGTGACGAAGTACGGATTCAACATCATGTAATTCAACCACCTGTCCCCAAAACTTCAATACGACGGAAAACAGGGGTCGACTCTCTTCATGGGCACACTCACAAAGCCGATTCTCGATATCTCCCCACAGTTTGTTTTGAAGCATGGAAAATATCGCCGTGTAAGTCTAAGCTGTTGAATTTGTCTAAGTGTAAGTCTAAAGAGTTGAATTGTGTCACCGTATGTGTCTAAACAGCTGAATCTGTCACCATGTAAGTCCATGTAGCTGAATTTGTCACCATGTAAGTCTAAGTAGCAGAATTTGTCACCATGTAAGTCTAAACAGCTGAATTTGTGACCGTGTAAGTCCATGTAGCTGAATTTGTCACTGTGTAAGTCTTAACAGATGAATTTGTCACCGTGTAAGTCTAAACAGCTGAATCTGTCACCATGTAAGTCCATGTAGCTGAATTTGTCACCATGTAAGTCTAAGTAGCAGAATTTGTCACCATGTAAGTCTAAACAGCTGAATTTGTGACCGTGTAAGTCTAAACAGCTGAATTTGTCACCGTGTAAGTCTAAACAGCTGAATTTGTGACCGTGTAAGTCCATGTAGCTGAATTTGTCACTGTGTAAGTCTTAACAGATGAATTTGTCACCGTGTAAGTCTAAACAGCTGAATTTGTGACCGTGTAAGTCCATGTAGCTGAATTTGTCACTGTGTAAGTCTTAACAGTTGAATTTGTCACCGTGTAAGTCTAAACAGCTGAATTTGTGACCGTGTAAGTCCATGTAGCTGAATTTGTAACTGTGTAAGTCTTAACAGATGAATTTGTCACCGTGTAAGTCTAAACAGCTGAATCTGTCACCATGTAAGTCCATGTAGCTGAATTTGTCACCATGTAAGTCTAAGCAGCAGAATTTGTCACCATGTAAGTCTAAACAGCTGAATTTGTCACCGTGTAAGTCTAAACAGCTGAATTTGTCACCGTATAAGTCCATGTAGCTGAATTTGTCACCATGTAAGTCTAAACAGTTGAATTTGTCACCGTGTAAGTCTAAACAGCTGAATTTGTGACCGTGAAAATCCATGTAGCTGAATTTGTCACTGTGTAAGTCTTAACAGATGAATTTGTCACCGTGTAAGTCTAAACAGCTGAATCCGTCACCGTGTAAGTCCATGTAGTTGAATTTGTCACTGTGTAAGTCTAAACAGTTGAATTTGTCACCGTGTAAGTCTAAACAGCTGAATTTGTCACCATGTAAGTCTAAACAGCTGAATTTGTCACCTTGTAAGTCTAAACAGCTGAATTTGTCACCGTGTAAGTCCATGAAGCTGGATTTGTCACCGTGTAAGTCTAAATAGCTGAATTTGTCACCGTGTAAGTCCATGTAGCTGAATTTGTCACCGTGTAAGTCTAAACAGCTGAATTTGTCACCATGTAAGTCTAAACAGCTGAATTTGTCAACGTGTAAGTCTAAATAGCTGAATTTGTCACCTTGTAAGTCCGTGTAGCTGAATTTGTCACCGTGTAAGTCCATGTAGCTGGATTTGTCACTGTGTAAGTCTAAACAGCTGAATTTGTCACCGTGTAAGTCTAAACAGCTGAATTTGTCACCGTGTAAGTCTAAACAGCTGAATTTGTCACCATGTAAGTCTAAACAGCTGAATTTGTCAACGTGTAAGTCTAAATAGCTGAATTTGTCACCGTGTAAGTCCATGTAGCTGAATTTGTCACCGTGTAAGTCTAAACAGCTGAATTTGTCACCATGTAAGTCTAAACAGCTGAATTTGTCACCGTGTAAGTCTAAATAGCTGAATTTGTCACCGTGTAAGTCCGTGTAGCTGAATTTGTCACCGTGTAAGTCCATGTAGCTGGATTTGTCACTGTGTAAGTCTAAACAGCTGAATTTGTCACCGTGTAAGTCTAAACAGCTGAATTTGTCACCGTGTAAGTCTAAACAGCTGAAGTTGTCACCATGTAAGTATAAACAGCTGAATTTGTCACCGTGTATGTCTAAACAGCTAAATTTGTCACCGTGTAAGTCTATACAGCTGAATTTGTCACCGTGTAAGTCCATGTAGCTGAATTTGTCACTGTGTAAGTCTAAACAGCTAAATTTGTCACCGTGTAAGTCTAAACAGCTGAATTTGTTACTGTGTAAGTCTAAACAGCTGAATTTGTCACCTTGTAAGTCTAAACAGCTGAATTTGTCACCGTGTAAGTCCATGTAGCTGAATTTGTCACCGTGTAAGTCTAAATAGCTGAATTTGTCACCGTGTAAGTCCATGTAGCTGAATTTGTCACCGTGTAAGTCTAAACAGCTGAATTTGTCACCATGTAAGTTTAAACAGCTGAAATTGTCACCGTGTAAGTCTAAACAGCTGAATTTGTCACCGTGTAAGTCCATGTAGCTGGATTTGTCACCGTGTAAGTCTAAATAGCTGAATTTGTCACCGTGTAAGTCCATGTAGCTGAATTTGTCACCGTGTAAGTCTAAACAGCTGAATTTGTCACCATGTAAGTCTAAACAGCTGAAATTGTCACCGTGTAAGTCTAAACAGCTGAATTTGTCACCGTGTAAGTCCGTGTAGCTGTATTTGTCACTGTGTAAGTCTAAACAGCTGAATTTGTCACTGTGTAAGTCTAAACAGCTGAATTTGTCACCGTGTATGTCTAAACAGCTGAATTTGTCACCGTGTAAGTCCATGTAGCTGAATTTGTTACCGTGTAAGTCTAAATAGCTGAATTTGTCTCATGTTAATCTAAGTAGTTGAATTTGTCACCGTGAAAGTCTACGTTATTGGATTTGTAACGTTATATTTATTTGTTTTTTTCCTGCTTGATAGATATAGGGAACTGTATCTCATGTCAGCATTGACGTATAAAACTGATACCTGTATATCTACAGAGGCTAATGACTATGTGTCCAGGTGTATCATACATGGTGGACATGGCGTCAGGTGACTGTCAGGTTGCTCCTCTCTCCACGGACGTCTTCGACTCCCAGCTGACCGACCTGAACCATATCAGCATCAAAAGTCCAAAACAGTTCTTCGACTTCACTTCCGGAGCCTTCGTATACTCTGGCCAGGTAAGCACTGCTGATTCTGGTAGCACTGTTGGTATGCGCAGCTATCTTAATAAGTTGGACCAACAGGCGGAGGTCACAATATGGTGGGGAAGCCTGTAATATCATAATGTTGCCTATGTTTAGCGTCCATGGTTACGAATGTGAGTTTACATAGAGGCATGTCTTCACCACGAAAATTTGTTCTATGCTATTAAGTTGCATGTTGAGATTCGTCACCACGTAAATCGGAGCTGTTGAATTTGTTACCGTGTAAGTCAAAGCGAATTAATTTGTCACCATGTAAGTCTAAGCGATTGAATTTGTCACCCTGTAAGTCTAAGCGATTGAATTTGTCACCCTGTAAGTCTAAGCGATTGAATTTGTCATCGTGTAAGTCAAAGCGAATTAATTTGTCACCGTGTAAGTCTAAGCGATTGAATTTATCATCCTGTAAGTCTAAGCGATTGAATTTGTCACCGTGTAAGTCAAAGCGAATTAATTTGTCACGGTGTAATCTAAGCGATTGAATTTGTCACCGTGTAGCTCAAAATTTACTTACTCAAACTTTGTTTTCATTCGATACTGACGACCAATGAATACTATGGTTAGTGTCGTCCAATGGTAGCCGAAGACACATCCGCCAACAACTCTCGTCATATTTCTGAAACTCTAACCACATATTTAAACTAGGATGATGTGCCAGTGCATGCATCTCTCACCGAATCTTCAAACAAATAGGAAGTTAACAAACGTCAGTGACAGCTTAGGTCGAGAGACTTGATCCATTAGAAGGAAGTGATTCTTGAAAGAAATGACTGAATTCCAAACCAATTCAAAGATTTGTCCTTCAGACACAAAAGTGGTACGATACTTTTTAATTTATTTTGTTTTCTCTTAAATTATATTTTGAAACTGTGTAACGTGGTGTAAAGTGAAACGATGTTTTATGTTTAGAAAACGGAACGTAGCATCACCATGGATACGTGGATAGGAAAAAGAAAGGATTTTCCACCGGGTCTTAATCAAACATCCTTTTGGGAATGGTACTTCTCTACAGTGAGTGGTGTACATTATGCCTCGTGTATCGAAAAGCATCTTTTCATTAATATAATATTTAGGTCCAAGCGAATAAAGAGTTTAAACGCTCCTTTAACCAACCTTTATAAGTAAAGGAATTCTTTGGCATTATTTTTTTAATTGTTAAATAACCAAGATCACATCTGTTTGCTTCACATGTGGTGTAAACATTAATCAATGCAGTTTTTTACGTAGGTGGTGCCACGATTTTACATTCCACTACGACTCTACGTGGTGGGGAGTCGTATTACATACTTTAATCATGTGGCACATGAGAGAGAGAGAAGAAGGCATGTTTAAATTGTGAAATAGCCAGCCCATATATTTTTCAACATCACAATGAAGCTTTATAACTGTTTGGAGATGGTTAAACAATAATTGTGTTATCATTGTCATTGTGTTCCAGGATAACTGGCTCATAAGCGAGTTCGGACCGTCCATCAGGAAAGCGCCAATGAGACTTAAGATCAACATACCTGGGGTACAGCATTATATAATCGTTCAGGTGGCCCAGTCGTTAAGGCGCCGTAATTTGCTGTGTAGAGTTGCGTCCCTTGGGCGTACCAAGATTCTGAAAGTCTGGTCTTTTGTTTAAATCCCAGATTGGCCGTGTATATGTTTACGCTTCAAATTCCCAGCACTATCTCTGTGTGTTTCGTCAACTCCTAACTGCATCCCTCTCGGGTTGTACCCCCACATGAAGCTTACCGGTCGCCATTTTGCTGTAATGTTGCTTAAAGAGACACTAAACCGCTCCCCCATACGTCAATAGAGATTAGCACTGTAAACTTGATAACCGTCTTAAACTGTAATCTCCGATACATAACATCTTCTTGCGACGTGTTTCAACCACCTTGTAATGTATCTATTTATATATTTGAACAAATTAACATTCTACTTTACGTGTTTTTATTCCACCACAATGTACATGTGTATATGTTTGTTTGGTAGGTGAATGCCACATATATATACAACATATTTGACTTCACGGAGGACGAGCCGGACATCATGATGTTTGACGTCTCGGACTGCTATGAGAAGGGAGACCTACGTAACTTCCGGTTCACACTCAAAGGTAGGTAACCCTGTTTTACTTCGACTAAGCCAATGTAATTAATAGCTCCGATTCGGAAGTTTACAGGTGTTCGAGCACACTGAGTCGAATTACGATGTTTAACTAGCTCCCTTAAAGCTAATAATCAAACTTACTATCTTATAGGACCTGCAAATATATAAAACTACCTTTTCAAAAAAGCTGCCGCTGCACTTTGGGAATTCTTCAAGAATTTGGTTTCTTTTTTTAGACCACGTCTCGTTTTGCATTTTGTGAAAGTACGAATCAACAAAACCAGCAAATTCCTTTCAATCCCAACATTTTCAGTGTTGTTGCAGGTAACGCTTGGGCCATCTCACCAAAACCCAAATTGTTCAAATACAACATGGCTACCGCGATAACCAACGCCATGGGAATCTCCGGTCCCAGGATACAAGCCGTGCAGGTAGTGTACAGGTATCTGTGGGAGATGTAGTTGTAGTAGACGCTTTGTAGATATTGCTGTTGTTGTCGCTGTATTCACACAATTACAGTTCGCATATTTCACATGGGAGGGAAAGATGCAGGTCGTGGCTGTAGTTGAGTAGTAGCAGCAGTAGTAATAGAAGTAGTAGTAGAAGCAGCAATAGTAAAAAAAAATATTTTTATTTTTGGGGGTGGGGTGTGTTTTGTTTAAAAAACCCTGAACCTCTTTTGATCCGTCAACGCAATTTTTTTTTTCAATGTGGTCTTAAGTCATTTTCAAAAGGTGGGGTTCGAACCCCCTGAACTCCCCCCTTGGATCCGCCACTGGTAGCAGTAGTGGCGTAGCAGGGAGTTCTCAGACTGTGTAAATAATGTCAGTCTAAGTAAACCTAGGCTCAGGATTATTCGTTACACTGCTATACCGTATAAAACAAACCCTAGTAGAAAGTCGCGTCAGCTAACCTTTGAGCGACCTATGACCGTCCAATCAAACGCGAGCGGCCGAACGGATTTAACCAATCAGACAACGGCTACTCGGAGGGACTTACAAAACGGTTTTTGGTTTTTGTTCTCCCTGGTCACTGACACTGATCTACCAACAAACGAAAATCCGCATAAAACACAGATATTTGACCTGCAGTATATACGCTAAGGGGTTTCTGATGGTATGGTTACTATTAGCTTATATTTCCGCAAGATGACATCCTGGAATATTGCCAAAAACGCTATTTTGAGCGACTGTTTACTCGCTGTTGTGAATAATGCGTCCTCCAGTTAAACCCGTGTTTTGTAGGCTGACTTCGACAACAAAGGCGTGTATGTCGTATTCACGTTGCTGGGACCGCCTCCGATCAAAGGTGACACCGGCAACCCCATCAACTCCATCAGCTCAGACACCGCCGCCAACAACTTCCGTCGAACTCTGGACTCTGGCCAGTTTTCGTTTCAATCAACCATTGTCAAGCCTGTCTCGGGCACGGTACGTCCCAGATAGGTGTTGCTGCAGGGATGGTTTCATCAGCCTTTCAGCACGGTTAACCCTTTATTCGCATTGCTCCATGATTACCATGGATGACAATTCAAATGTGTGACTTGATTGTGGGTCATCGTACCCCCAGTTTCATAGCTCATTCTATCAACCACTGGTTTGCCGGGACTCGATTGTTCAAAGACTACCATCGCGTAGCTTGAATATTCCTGCAAAAACCATTTACTGATATCATTAATACTTTACTTTAATAAAGCAAGTCAATATAATAATATCTAAAATAGTATGGGCGGTGGGGTAGCCTAGTGGTTAAAGCGTCCGCTCGTCAAGCCTTAGGCCTGGGTTCGATGCCCTACATGGGTACAATGTGTGAAGTCCATTTCTGGTGTCCCCCGCCGTGATATTGCTGGAATATTGCTAAAAGCGGCTTAAAACCCAACTCACTCACTCACTAAAATAGTATTTAAAAGTCATATTCAGCCGATTATGAGTAATCTGAATTTTCCAAATAAAATGCAGGTATTGGTTACAGCTGTCTTAATTTCCCTCCGCAGCGAACCTACACATACACCGGAGTACCACACTCCATGAAGGAAGTGATCAGGTCATCTAACGGTACTCTAATTGACCTCACGGATACAACTACTTCCGGGCCAACCATGGCCGTGCCCACTCTACACCAAGGGACCACTCTCCACCCTCCTCTTGCTAAGACAACGCAGCAAAGTCACAGCAGTAAGTCTAAACTGTCACCACTGTGGGTTGGCAATAGATATCTATTCTGTCCTTACATGTCAACTGATAACATACAGTCTCTGAAAGAGCTCCATAGTCCAGTGGAGAGGGTGTCGGCTCGAAAAGCGGAATGTCGATTGTTCTACCCCTTTCCGCTTCATTTCAAGACACTCCAATAAAGTGCTATGGCCAATACTATCCACAGAATACTACTTTAGAAAATGACTGACTGACTGAGATTGGTTTTACGCCGCTTTTAGCAATATTCCAGCAACATCACGGCGGGGGACACCAGAAATGGGCTTCACACAATGTACCCATTTGGGGATTCGAACCCGGGTCTTCGGCGTGACGAGCCAACGCTTTAACAACTAGGCTACCCCACCGCCCCTAGAAAATAACAGTCGAACTGGTTATGTCTATGTTGCGGTATGGGAAATCCGTGAAGATCCTGGTTAAAATTGGTCTTCAGCAACACATGCTTGTCGTAATCTTGAGGCGACTAACGGAATCGGGTGATCAGGCTCGCTGACTTGGTAGACACATGACGTCGTATCCCAATTGTGAAGATCGATGCTTATGATGTTGATCACTGGATTGTCTGGTCCACACACGATTATTTATAGACTGCAGCCATATAGCTGGAATATTGCTGAGTGCGGCGTAAAACTAAACTCACTCACTCAATTGTGGTGTGGGAAGACGGAGTCCAGTTTAAGTCGTCACAACATGACTTAAACAATGTTATTACGGCGTTTAGATCAAAGTCACCCATTCACTGTAGGAGGGATAGACCAGATGAGGTCACCTAGGTTGAAATAATCCGTATATGAATTTGAAATAAAAATTCATTATTTTAGATTTAATGCCCCGCGTATACTAGTACTTGGATTGGGTACCCGCTGTAAAGAATATCGCCAAGACGAACTGGTTATATTTGTGTGTGATCGTACCCCGATGGCGTGTATGGCCTTCTCACACCGGTTTACCCGATCCAACACCAAGAGACACATTCTCTTTAATGGAATACACAAGCTGACAACTGACATGCTTATTTTGTCAAAGCATGGTTGTTCTGGTGAATAAAAGGCATGCTGAACTGTACAGCAGCGTTAGAAATTAGTGTCGGTCCTTTGGCCAGAAGCCTACTGAAAACCACTTGAACCCAGAGCTTTTGTTTCCTGCATTTCCTAATGGCCCACAGCTTTTTCATTCACAATAACTAAGAGTATTATATTTCAGAAAATATCATTGAGTAATTTCTAGTTTTTATCTTGATCAGCAGCTGTTGTCTGTTAGTGAAACAACTATCATTTTCAAGGAAGCAATTTAGATTACAGACTTTTCAGAAGACTTGGATGTTGATTTTGTTGTAAATAAGACAAGTCAGTCACTAGAGTTACATTAAACTCTTTAACTCAGTTTGTTAGTTGTCACATTTGTGTTTGCTGGGAAGTACTTATATTGTAGCTAAAATATAGGGCCTACACATACTGATCAGGACCAACAACTTTTTATGGTTCTGGGTCCTTATATTAGAGCCTGCAGGTTTTCGGGGTTAAGGGCAAACATTGCCTATATTTATCGGTATGTGACGGCATCAGAACTAATTGTCATGACCTCTGTGTTACAGGTCCGGTTGGTGCACCGTCGGGATGGCAAGGAGGTAAAGTATGATGTCCTCTGAAGTAGCTTTAATGAAGGACGGTTTCTTGTTTTGCAGTTTATTTCAGAATCGTGTTTGTGAGTGATTGTGTTTGTGCCGCTTTTAGAATCATTTGAACGGGTCTAATGATGATGTCACAATTTACAGTTTGAATAGACCTCGGTTTCGGCTTCAGAAGCAAACTGTTACATAAATACTGACGCACAAAAGAAAGTATACACCTGGTGTTTGGGGATTATTGCAAAATACCACAGCTATCGTGCCCCACGTTTACTTATGTGGTATATTTTTGAATGACCCCAAAGCACATATTGTGTACTATATTTTGTACGACAGTTTATAGACCCTGGTGCCGTTGTACAAAGCGATCTTAGCGCTAAGATGATCGTAGCTCCCATACTTTAACATAGACTTACGACTGTCGTAGCGCTACGATCGCTTTGAGGAACGGGTCCCTGGCTTACGCTAACTGCATACATACTGGACATATTTACTGCAGCCTCCCACTTTCATTTTTTTCAGGTTCTGTTGCCGGCATAGCCATAGGCATGTCCATTCTTGGATTGTTTCTGGGAGTAATCTCCACTTTAATGGCGCTGAAATTAAGGAAACCGGACGAAATGAAAGACACACTGGTCATGGATAACATTGATAAATGATTACATCAAATATACTCATGCCAATAATGGTTATCACCCCCTTCAATTTTTTTATTGGAGAGGGGTGTGGGGTGGGAGTGTGGGGTTGGGGTGGGGGGGGTTGACAACCATTATTGGCATGAGAATATGTTGCATTCTTGGACACTAAATCAAGTTTTTGTGAAAAACAAAAGAATATAAATATATAAATCACATTCGTTGATCTTATTACTAATTGAACGAATGTATGCCCACACGTATTAACAAAGCATTGCATAAAACTAGCTGTTACTTGCAGTAGCATAAAACATTTGATGCCTGGCTTTCAAATATTTTGTATGTTTAATGTCCCTCAAATATACTTAAATTGTATCTTGTTTATGTACATACCTAAGCAATCGAATTGCGTGGTACCTTACACCATATTTGTAGATATTGTGAGAACGTGAGAACATTAAACTTTGAAATAAGTATATATTTTATTTTTTGAACACGTATATATATGATAAGGGCATGTGCTACCATTTGCAACAAGCTACTCCACAGTTCCTGTTTGAGTGAGAGAGTGAATCAACTCCATTGTGAACAATATATCAGTGATATATACTGAGGGAAAGAAATAAAGGATCACATGAAAGCACAAGTGATCCCTTGTTTTTTTCCCAGGTTTATTCACAAGCTATGCGATACAAAGCTAGTGAAGAAACCTTGGAAAAAAATAAAGGAACACTTGCCTTTTCATGTGATCCCATATTTTTTTCCCTCAGTATATAATGACATGTCAGCTTCCAATACATGTGACAAGAATGTTCCATGCGATGCAGGTTTAACATGCAGAGCAAGACCCGCGAGTACGATGCTGATTCACCAAGTGTCCTGATAGGCCTAAGGGAAGTAACTGTGTATTCTGGCTGGACCATTCATTGTACTAAGTACTAGTAAGCACTGTGACTGCTGAAATTCATAACATATTTTAATATATTCCATGGTCATTATGGCCGCCTGCCCTTTCGAACGTCCAGCCGCAAGTTGTGAAGATCCGGGTTAGAATTGTTTTCAGCAAACATGCTTGTTGTAAGAGGCGACTAAAGGCATCAGTTGTTCAGGCTCGCTGACTTGGTTGACACTTGTCATTGTATCGGTGCTGATAATTTAGTATTACTTACTTGATTGTCTCGATTATTTACACACCGCCGCCATGTAGCTGGAACATAGCAGGGGTGTGGCGTTAAACAAACAAACCAAATCCTGGAAAGATCCGGGTTCCATTCCCCACATGAAAACAATGTGTGAAGTCCATTTCTGGTGTCCCCCGCTGTGCTGGAATATTGCTAAAAGCGGCGTAAAACCAAACTCACTCACTTATTCACCCACACAAGCCGCAAGGGACGTGGCCAAAATCACTTGTAAGTAGAAAAAAATGTTCTGTCATCACAGGGTTCTTTACCTTGAAGAACGTTCAAAAGGTTTTTGAAACACATGAGAAACAATAAGACTTGCCTCCTTTATACAAAGTACAACTCGTAATACAGCGAACGCACCAGTACGACACCTTTTCTTGGAGGTGTGTTTGTTCCAGATATAGAATATGGTTTGCGCGGAGAACACGTGCGGTTCAGGAAACGCACACTTGCTATGTGTGTCAATCAAGGAGTGGTATTTCCTCAGTTCAACAGACCCATCCACATCATCAGATGTAGGTCAGTGTGTCAGAATACAGAATACAGAAGTTTATTGTATTTCGGGGCCAGGACTGACTGACTGACTGAGTTTGGTTTTACGCCGCTTTTAGCAATATTCCCCCAACATCACGGCGGGGGACACCAGAAATGGGCTTCACACATTGTACCAATGTGGGCGTGACGAGCCAACGCTTTAACCACTAGGCTACCCCACCGCCCTTCGGGGCCAGGAGGCCTAGTGTACAGTGTAAGATTTAATTTAAGATATAAATAAGTTTTAAAGCGCTATAATACATAATACACAATGCCATTGAGACGTGTCAATGTGTCTGTCTGTGTGTGTCGTAACATAATCAGGATATTGAAATGGACTATAACATTCCGTCTTTCACTCACTCACTCATTCACTCACACACTCGTTTCTCTCACTATACAAGTCCTCTATAACACATACAACGGAACAGACCCGTGAAGATCCGGGGTAGAATAGGTCTTCAGCAACCCATGCTTGCCATAAAAGGCGACTTTGCTTGGCGCAAGAGGCGACTAACGGGATCGGGTGGTCAGGCTTGCTGACTTGGTTGACACATGTCATCGGTTCCCAATTGCGCAGATCGATGCTCATGCTGTCGATCACTGGATTGTCTTGTCCAGACTCGATTATTTACAAACCGCCGCCATATAGCTGGAATATTGCTGAGTGCGGCGTAAAACTAAACTCACTCACTCAGTATAACAGAACAACTTTGAAAAAAAATTCCAACAGTTTATTAACGTATATACTGACGAGAAGAAATAAGGAGATGGATATCAAGGTGCATGCTTCTGTTAGCAATGCACGGGATACACGTGTCAGGGGGTGTTTTGTGAACACATACAGTACCAGCACTCCACTCACTAACTACACTGTTTACATGTCAAAGTTTCACAGCTGTAAACATCACCCGAACTACGTGAACGTGCTCCTTTAGTTTTCTTCATCAGTATATGTTTTAACAACTATTACACATACATAAACAAATTATTACTTTCAGGGTATCACATGAAACAAAGAACGAGGTATCCCAGAAAATACATATACAAGTAATTGGCAAGATACATTTAACAGACATCAAATGAAACTTATGTAACCTTCCCAACCATTCTATTTTGATTATGATGCTCATAAACCACACATGTTATTCACTTTAAAGTGTGACGGAGTGAAAGAGTGTATTTAATTAACAATTAAGACAACCCAACGTCACACTAACATGTCACGACTCGCAGACTCCCGAACACATCACGAGCCAAAGAGACGTTGTGATCCCAGGGGGTAATGAAGTTGCATTTAAGAAAGTTTATAATATAATTAATTTGCATATTCGAAGAGATTCGAACCTCGTTCTCTATGTTCTAGCGTCACCTTATCACCTTATCCTTATCGTGGAGATAAAGACAAACCTTTTCAGAGCATCTGCTGTGTATGAACCATCTGCTGTGTATGAACCATCTGCCGTGTATGAACCAACGAAGGCAGTATCACATGCACCATCCAAGTTCCAACCCAATTTCAGTCAACGAGAAAACTGTAACCTGAGTATACTCAAGCCCACTACTTGCCATATAATCTGTGATTGATTGTATGTCATGGTACAAGGCATGAGTTGTTGCTCATGCTGTCAACCACTGGTTTGCGGGGTCCTGAGTGAGTGAGTGAGTTTAGTTTTACGCCGCACTCAGCTATAGGCCGGCGGTCTGTAAATAATCGAGTCTGGACCAGACACTCCAGTGATCAACAGCATGAACATCGATCTACGCAATTGGGATACGATGACATGCATGGTCGTCCTCACATTGATGGAATATTGCTAAATTCGGCGTTAAACATCATTCACACACAATCATTCAATGACTTAAAAGAGCATATCATCACAATACTTTACATTAAGATGTCAGCTTGTAAGAGTCACTCGTGAGATCGGGATGTCAGGGTAACTTACTCAACAATTGCTTCAAGTCGAATCCTAAGTGCACATATCGGTGCTCGTTTAGTTTGTGACTTGTATTGTCCAGACTGGATTACTTACAGCCCGCCGTCATATAGTCGAAATATTGCTAAGTGCGGTGTTAAACAATAAACAACAATTTATTAAGGCTTTAACATATAAACAGCAAGCACCGACACCAGTTCACAATTGCATAACTTTTGTGTGGAAACAGAACACGTCAAAACGATGCCGCCACGTTTCGGTGCACTCTAAACTTCAGTGGTATTTCCGTTTCCGGTAGAAACGGAAGCTTGACGTCATCGTCCCGTCCCATGATCAGTACGCTGTCCCTGAAGTTCATCTCGCACTGAAACATAATTTCGCAAAATGTACAAATAAATATAAAATAATTTTCATCAATGATGATGTTTTCATAACACGCCTACTATTTTGGCTAAAAGCTAAACATACTTACTTACAAACACCTTTAACTTTACAGCTTAGCATAGATTTTTAACCAACAGTAAACTGCTACATGTTAATTGAGGAATATTGAAGATGAAGCTCATGTTATATACAACTGTAAGATGAGAGTCTTCGGCAACGACTTATTCCAAAGACATCAAGTGGACACTACGTCTCCATTCAAAGTCTCTGTACATCCGTAGATATTAATATCATTAACAACTTTGTGAAATATTTGAAATATGTTTATTCTGAGAAACATTGTTAGCAAACAAGTTTCTTCGATCCATACTGTGTACACATCTGGTAACTCAACAACTATAATATGTACTATTTTGTACTGTAGGTCGAATGGCCTCATTTGCAAATAAATGTAAGTGATTTTACGCCGCGCGGTCTCTAAAACAATCTAGTACAGTAATGTGAGCCACAAGGTGTGCCGTGGAATCACTCGCAATGAACCAAATCGCCTCTTGAAGGCAGAAACACTGTGCAAACGCTCTGGGGCAGGCAAACCAGTCAAAAAGAAGCTGCTGCGCTTCCTCTACCCTGAATCCCACGGGGTTTGTGGAGTTGGGCAACCTGACCAGCAGAAACCGTTGGTTTTTGGTTTGATTTGGGTTTGCTGTTTTCGTTTTTCTTCTTCCACTCAAATCAAAGTTTACCAATTTTATCAAACATTGAAGGCAGATTTGTCAATGCCAGATCGACATAAGGGAGGTAACTCTGATTATGGAAGTACCACAGCTCCACAAACAGATGCGCAGGGTGAAAATGCCATGAACCGACCCGTAAAATCACTCACAGAATCAAATTAGTATAAACGCGCGATTCACACGCGCAATCCTCAACAGTTTCAACTAGCTTATATTTTCGCTGTTAACAATGTCATTACAGTAAGAGGGGCGGTGGGGTAGCCTAGTGGTTAAAGTGTTGGCTCGTCACGCCGAAGACCCGGGTTCGAATCCCCATAATGGGTACAATGTGTGAAGCCCATTTCTGGTGTCCCCCGCCGTGTTGTTGCTGGAATATTGCTAAAAGCGGCGTAAAACCAAACTCAGTCAGTCAGTCAGTCATTACAGTAAGCTTCGTTTGCAATGAACATGCTTATAACGAATTGGTTTTTTTCGGCCATCTTCTGACTATTTATCTCAAGAACTTGTATGACAGAACGAACGGATATCACTTTGAGGTGCCAAGTATCCCTTTAGTCCCTCATTCCCGGAAACACCATTTTTCTGAGTCAACACATAGTATCTCAAAATTTAAAAGTAACCCTTCTATATGGGTCAGTGAGTGAGTGAGTGAGTGTGTTTAGTTTTACGCCGCATTCCAGCTATATGGCGGCGGTCTGTAAATAATCGGATCTGGACCAAACAATCCAGTGATCAACAGCATGAACATCAGTCTACGCAATTAGGATACGATGACGTGTGTCAACCCAGTCAGCGAGCCTGACCACCCGATCCCGTTAGTCGCCTCTTACGACAAGCATGGGTTGCTGAAGATCAATTCTAACGCGGGTCTTTACGGGTCCCCTTCTATACGGATGTGTAGCATCACTTATAATAGAGAAAGTGTCTGTGTCTTGGAAATAATTGCTTAGAATATTTCACATTCAGGTTCAGACCGACCTTTTCTAGTGTCGCACTTCGATCGGCGTTTTAAACGCGTATTATATGCCAATCTATGGTTATGCCAGGGTCGATTATAGAAATTAAATATGGCTTCATAATAATTATACAACACATTAAATAAAGTCCTTATAATATACCTCACTTGGTGCAACATCTACTGCCAGGCAACCGAAAGCATAGACTTGATGACTGGATCTGACTAATGTGAACAGGTTTCGAGGCAATGCAAACTTGTTCTAAAACATAACTTTGATACACGTATTCATGAAAGACAGTATACTTTGTGTTTGTTTCATCTGAGATTCCCGTGAAGATCCGAGTTAGAATTGATCTTCAGTAACCCATGCTTGTCGTAAGAGGAGAATCGGGCGGTCATGCTCGCTGACTTGGTTGACACATGTCATCGTATCCTAATTGCGTAGATGGATGCTCATGCTGTTGATCACTGGATTGTCTGGTCCGGACTCGATTATTTACAGATTGCCGCCATATAGTTGGAATATTGCTGAGTGCGGTGTAAGACTAAACTCACTCACTCACAAATGTTTCATCTGAGATGTACACGCACCTAAAACAAAGCACAACGGCCCCAGAATTATTGTTTTGCATTCAAATGAAGACAAAGTTTAGTTCCAGTGGTGATGTCAGTAGTTCAGTAGTGGTGATGTCTGTACTTAGAAAAGTGGTGATGTCAGTAGTTCAGTAGTGTTGATGTCTGTACTTAGAAAGTGGTGATGTCAGTAGTTCAGTAGTGGTGATATCTGTACTTAGAAAGTGGTGATGTCAGTACTAAGGAAGTGGTGATGTCAGTAGTTCAGTAGTGGTGATGTCAGTAGTTCAGTAGTGGTGATGTCTGTACTTAGAAAGTGGTGATGTCAGTAGTTCAGTAGTGGTGATATCTGTACTTAGAAAGTGGTGATGTCAGTACTAAGGAAGTGGTGATGTCAGTAGTTCAGTAGTGGTGATGTCTGTACTTAGAAAGTGGTGATGTCAGTAGTTCAGTAGTGGTGATGTCAGTAGTTCAGTAGTGGTGATGTCAGTAGTTCAGTAGTGGTGATGTCAGTAGTTCAAAAGTAAGAGGAGAATCGGGCGGTCATGCTCGCTGACTTGGTTGACACATGTCATCGTATCCTAATTGCGTAGATGGATGCTCATGCTGTTGATCACTGGATTGTCTGGTCCGGACTCGATTATTTACAGATTGCCGCCATATAGTTGGAATATTGCTGAGTGCGGTGTAAGACTAAACTCACTCACTCACAAAGGTTTCATCTGAGATATACACGCACCTAAAACAAAGCACAACGGCCCCAGAATTATTGTTTTGCATTCAAATGAAGACAAAGTTTAGTTCCTGCAAGACATGACAAAATGACAGATAACGAAAATACTGCTCCATTTCCACGTTAATATTAGATTCTATCGAAATAATTACACGGCTACCAGTTTGACATTTCAATCTGAAATAGCCACTTTCCGCGTTACAACATCATATCCACAGATTACAATGGAACCGCTGTCTTTACACCAGCTGTAGCTGGCAATTATTGAATTACACGGAGTTTTTAGCGTCGGCAACACATTTCAGTTTGCAATAATTCCATTTTAAACAGCACATATGTCACGATACCGTATTTATGTCTGTATACTTGTGACTAAAGACAGAAAGATGCGTTTAATGTTGTATCGAGAACCGTGGCATTGATTAATCCACTCGCTTTTCGCTGAAGATTGACGCTGTACTTAGAGTCCAGGTATTTGTTGTTCACTCTGCAGTCAGCCATGTGCCAACTATATTGGGCTGTAAGTAATCAATATTGTAAACAAGCCAAACAGTGGTAGCGTAAAGACTGGCGGGCACGGTGACATACTGTGCGCCAAATCACCATGACTCAGTAGTTTAGTTGTAGTAATGTAAACAATTAAGTAGTTGTGATGTCGGAAGTAAAGTAGTGGTTATGTCAGTAGTTCAGTAGTGGTGATGTCAGTAGTTTAGTAGTGGTGGTGTCAGTAGTACTTAGGAAGTGGTGATGTCAGAAGTTAAGTAGTGGTGATGTCAGTAGTTTAGTAGTGGTGATGTCAGTAGTTCAGTAGTGGTGATGTCAGTAGTTCAGTAGTGGTGATGTCTGTACTTAGAAAGTGGTGATGTCAGTAGTTCAGTAGTGGTGATATCTGTACTTAGAAAGTGGTGATGTCAGTACTAAGGAAGTGGTGATGTCAGTAGTTCAGTAGCGGTGATGTCAGCAGTTCAGTAGTGGTGATGTCTGTACTTAGAAAGTGGTGATGTCAGTAGTTCAGTAGTGGTGATGTCAGTACTTAGAAAGTGGTGATGTCAGTAGTTCAGTAGTGGTGATGTCAGTAGTTCAGTAGTGGTGATGTCTGTACTTAGAAAGTGGTGATGTCAGTAGTTCAGTAGTGGTGATGTCTGTACTTAGAAAGTGGTGATGTCAGTAGTTCAGTAGTGGTGATGTCAGTAGTTCAGTAGTGGTGATGTCAGTAGTTCAGTAGTGGTGATGTCAGTAGTTCAAAAGTGGTGACATCAGTATTTCAGTCGTGGTGATGTCAGTAGTTCAGTTGTGGTGATGTCAGTAGTTCAGTAGTGGTGATGTCAGGTGGTGATGTCAGTAGTTCAGTAGTGGTGATGTCAGTACTTAGAAAGTGGTGATGTTTGTACTTAGAAAGTGGTGATGTCAGTAGTTCAGTAGTGTTGATGTCTGTACTTAGAAAGTGGTGATGTCAGTAGTTCAGTAGTGGTGATGTCAGTAGTTCAGTAGTGGTGATGTCTGTACTTAGAAAGTGGTGATGTCAGTACTAAGGAAGTGGTGATGTCAGTAGTTCAGTAGTGGTGATGTCAGTAGTTCAGTAGTGGTGATGTCAGTAGTTCAGTAGTGGTGATGTCAGTAGTTCAGTAGTGGTGATGTCAGTACTTAGAAAGTGGTGATGTCAGTAGTTCAGTAGTGGTGATGTCAGTAGTTCAGTAGTGGTGATGTCAGTACCCCGCAGAAAGTGGTGATGTCAGTAGTTCAGTAGTGGTGATGTCCAGGGCAGTGCTAGTTCAGTAGGCGTGATGTGTAGATGCTCAGTAGTGGTGATGTCAGTACTTAGAAAGTGGTGATGTCAGTAGTTCAGTGGTGGTGATGTCAGTAGTTCAGTAGTGGTGATGTCTGTGATGTCAGAAAGTGGTGATGTCAGTAGTTCAGTAGTGGTGAAGTGTGGTGATGTCAGTACTTAGAAAGTGGTGATGTCTGTACTTAGAAAGTGTTGATGTCAGTAGTTCAGTAGTGGTGATGTCAGTAGTTCAGTAGTGGTGATGTCAGGTGGTGATGTCAGTAGTTCAGTAGTGGTGATGTCAGTACGTAGAAAGTGGTGATGTTTGTACTTAGAAAGTGGTGATGTCAGTAGTTCAGTAGTGTTGATGTCTGTACTTAGAAAGTGGTGATGTCAGTAGTTCAGTAGTGGTGATGTCAGTAGTTCAGTAGTGGTGATGTCTGTACTTAGAAAGTGGTGATGTCAGTACTAAGGAAGTGGTGATGTCAGTAGTTCAGTAGTGGTGATGTCAGTAGTTCAGTAGTGGTGATGTCAGTAGTTTAGTAGTGGTGATGTCAGTACTTAGAAAGTGGTGATGTCAGTAGTTCAGTAGTGGTGATGTCAGTAGTTCAGTAGTGGTGATGTCTGTACTTAGAAAGTGGTGATGTCAGTAGTTCAGTAGTGGTGATGTCAGTACTTAGAAAGTGGTGATGTCAGTAGTTCAGTAGTGGTGATGTCAGTAGTTCAGTAGTGGTGATGTCTGTACTTAGAAAGTGGTGATGTCAGTAGTTCAGTAGTGGTGATGTCAGTACTTAGAAAGTGGTGATATCAGTAGTTCAGTAGTGGTGATGTCAGTAGTTCAGTAGTGGTGATGTCTGTACTTAGAAAGTGGTGATGTCAGTACTAAGGAAGTGGTGATGTCAGTAGTTCAGTAGTGGTGATGTCAGTAGTTCAGTAGTGGTGATGTCAGTAGTTCAGTGGTGGTGATGTCAGTAGTTCAGTAGTGGTGATGTCAGTAGTTCAGTAGTGGTGATGTCAGTAGTTCAGTAGTGGAGATGTTTAATTGTAGGTACACCTGTTAAACACGTCAAACAAGTCACTTACCTTGAACTGTGAGAGAAAGTCGATGCCCAGCACGATATCCGGTATTTCATCTGAAAGGCAAGATGTTCTCGGGTGATTGAGTGAATAAAGGTCTGTGCCGCTTTCAGCTCTATATATATTACGGACACCATAGATGGGTTTCATACATTGTACCCATGTCTGTAATTTGAGCGGGTCTTCGGCGTGATCTGCTTTTAACCACTAGGCTACCCCGATATACATTTAGAGAAACTGTTTAATTTACTATTAGTGATTGGTTGAGCCTGGTTTCACATCACAGGAATTTTGAGGAAAGCTTTTGATGCAGGTTTGTAGACGTTAACCACTTTGTTGAAACCCACGAGCATTGATGTAGTATTAATAAAACTAGCAACCATCATCAGGGCGAATTTACCATCATGGGTTCCTATCACGTCAAAGGGACGCAACTCTGCATGATACAAAGGAATTGTGATAGGTGCTTATAGGCCTTTTCGGGAGCTTACCTAACTAGGAATTGTGGCGCCTTAGACGACAGGGCCACTAGTACCCTTTGGAACTATAACGGTATACCTCATCCACGCACTTACCCTACCCTCTAGTATTCCCGACCCTCCATGCCACTGGCACCCTTGGGGCTGGTTATGGAGCCCCGGTATCCAAATACCAGCGATTAATGAGGACGTGGTGGTTAGGGTGTGTGTCATTGTTTCAAGAAGAAAGGTTTATTGTTTCTGGTGACAGTGGGGTGGGCTAGTGGTTACAGCGTTCACTTGCCACAAAAGCCACAGGTTCGAATCCACACATGAGTACAATGTTTCAAATCCATTTTGATGTCCCCACGTGGTATTGCTCGATCGCCAAAAAATGGCATCAAACCTAATATCAATGGTAACAGTGACAATCATTTGTTTTTCTTTGTCATGCTGAAATAGGAATATCGCTGACATGCCTGTCAAGCATCACCTCACTCACCAGAGGTGACAGGCTTAGGGGTGCAGGAGGGGTTGTATTCGGTTGTGTTTGGTCAAGCCGTTTTCCATATGTTGCAAGGGACAAATCGCATTCGATAAGTTGGACCAGGTGAACGAATCGTACGTGGATGCAAAGAGCACGTGTCAATACGTAAGTACGTACCTTGCACCTCCAAGTTGATCGCCAGTTGTTTGGTTCCGAGTGTCAGGACAGATCGAAGTATTTGCCGACGGCTTTCGGAACTCGTGCTTCTGTAACACATTCCATGATGACGATCAACGATGTCAAGTCTTACCACTCTTGATACAATCAACAATGCGTCAAGTTGCTTGAAACACTCTTCACGCCACTCCATCCCCTCTACACCCACGCCACACACCTCACGTCCACCTTCATACCACACACACACGCACGCACACACTACACCACACGCCCACCACACACCCGCCCCCACCCCCATCACACACACCACATGTCCAAGTCCACCCCACCCCATCACACACACCACGCCCACTTCCACCTTTCACTCACACACACACACACACACACACAGCCACACACACAACACACACACACACCCCAACAAACACACACATCACACGCCCCACCCCAACACACACACACACCACACGCCCACCCCCACCCCAACACACACACCACACGCCTACCACACACACACGCGCACGCACGCACGCACGCACACACGCCCACCACGCCCAACACCCCAATCCCATTTCTCTCGACACAAACATACACATTTCTCCCACTTGTTGATGTGTCAGATGACTGACCAAGGATCGCATGGTAAATCTTTTGTAAATATAACAACAGTTTTTGTTGATAATACAAATATGATCTGGTATTGAAGCATGATTACCTTTGATCATAGTCCCGTCTGGTTCCTCACGCGTAAAACGATCAAAGGGAGACAACTCATCAAAACAAATTTCGCGATCGGCTTGTCTATTCTAATTCTAATTCACCCAGATCGTGCATAATTCATACTGGTCCTCTATTCCCTTTGGTCCTCTGTATGGGATGTGACTTACCTCGTCTTGCTATACATCTCTCTACTGATGAGGGACTGTTTGGACGATGTACTGATAAGTGCTTTCACTTCGATGTCGGAAACCTGCAAATTTAAAGAAACAACATGATTTTTCTTTTTGTTACTCAGAATATTTTCACAGAATATTTTAAGAAGGTTACGTTATATTTTCCATTATGTATTTATACTTGCTTGATGTGATAATGTACAGAATTAGAGAGTATATTATGTGACCTGTATTAGTAAAACATTACTGAAGAAATGTAGTCTGACATGCAGCACTAGTATTATTTCAAGGTGTTTAATTATTACTGGTGTCAGAAATATTGTAACGTTGTTGTGAAAATGGGTATTCTTGGGGGTAAACTGCATTTATATCTGATTCCTGGATTTTATAATATCACAGCCTACTAAATGGTAAGGTGCTACTGCGGGGTCTTATTACGAAACCTACTAAAAGCTGTTAAGTACATCATCTTCAAGGGTTATCTCCCATGTGTTAGACATACAGTTGTTATAGTCCGTCTTTTCTCTGTGTTTCAATCTCAAGATCATAAAAACAGGACAGCTCTTAGCCTGATCAAAGAGAGGGGGGTTTGTAGGGTGCGCACCCCGCCCCCTTTGTGCTGAAAGTTTGTTAAATGAAACTCGTGTGAAAATGAAGTGTGCACCCCTCCTTTTCTCAATAGTGTGCACCACCCACCCCCGTCCCCCCTTTCTCAAAAAGCTGTATCCGCACCTGCAGCTAGATCTTTCTTCATCTGTATTTATTAAAAAGAAGCAAATTATCTTTTTCGAAGCAAAGCGACACGATCTACTTCACAATTTCATTCAAAAACTATGTCCAAGTGATCTCAATTTTTCTATTTCATAAAAAAGGTTTGGTAGTGAAAACTTTCTTCAATTTTCATATTTTATTTGATCCGCTACCTCATGCTGGAGATGAGGAACATACAATGAAGTGGATGGCCACTGCAAGTGGATAAGTGAGTTAGGTGCGACGGGGTCACAGTTCTAATTGGATTAGTTCTAATTCAGACCTAAGAAGCTTCAGTACACAACAAAGTTTTATCTTTTTATATGTATGTATTTGGGGTTCTGGATTTTTTTTCTCCTCGGTACCTTCTGGTTGAATTTAATATTACCACGATATATGCGTTTGTAGCGTGTTCACAAAGCTTTAACCCGTGAAGGACCGGGTTAGAATGAACCTTCAGTAACCCATGCTTGTCGTAAGAGGCGACTAACAGGATCGGGTGGTCAGGCTCGCTGCCTTGGTTGACACATGTCATCGTATCCCAATTGCGCAGATCGATGCTCATGCTGTTGATCACTGGATTGTCTGGTCCAGACTCGATTATTTACAGACCGCCGCCATATAGTTGGAATGTTGCTGAGTGCGGCGTAAAACCGAACTCACTCACTCACTCATAAAGCTTTCTTATTGTGTGTTCCATCTATATACAACTGATCAGCAAGTCATGAACTGTTTCCTTCCCCAATAGTCACACAATAAATATAGTTTGATGAGCATCTTGTAGGCAGGCATGAAATGATGCCACACGTTCATGGGATCGTCGTGGCTGGGTTCCGGACAGTTAATTGTTTAATGTCGCAAGGATGCAGCGCACAGACCCGTCAAGCTAGTTATGCTTTAAGCGTCAAGACAGTCAGACCAGCAACCACTGGCGATGTGTGATCGAATTCTTACTGGCTGACATTATTGAGAAACTGGCCATCTTCGGGACAAAACTCAGCATAATTGGAAATTGATTGTTGCGTTATTTGTTAGTTCTTTGTTGTTCAACGTCGCATCGACCCGTGAAGATCCGGGGTATAATAGGTCTTCAGCAACCCATTCTTGCCACAAAAGGCGACTATGCTTGTTGTAAAAGGCGACTAACAGGATCGGGTGGTCAGGCTCGCTGACTTGGTTGACACATGTCATCGGTTCCCAATTGCGCAGATCGATGCTCATGCTGTTGATCACTGGATTGTCTTGTCCAGACTCGATTATTTACAGACCGCCGCCATATAGCTGGAATATTGCTGAGTGCGGTGTAAAACTAAACTCACCCACTCACTCACTCAACGTCGCATCCAGTAATACTCCAGCTATGTGACAGTTCTCTGTATATAATCGAGTCCAGGCTAGGCAGTTCAGCAACTGACATCATGAACATCGATCATCGCAACTGGGATACAATGACATGTGTCAGCCAAGTCAATGATCCTCTTTGTCGCCACGTACGGCAAGCATGGGTTGCTGAAGGCCAGTTCTAACTAAGGAAACATTTGGGCATCAGCTCTGCATTAATCAGGAGGTGTTGTGCTTTAAGTGACTGTTTAAAAACTGACTGTTTAAAACGAAACCTCATCCATTCGTCCGCGAAGGTTTCGGAATAACCAAGGTTTTACCTTACAGCTGACAAACGGAAGTGGACATTTGTTTTCGTTGGAGCCATAAACGTCATCGAAGTCCGATTCGCCGCTAAGACGTCGCCGTGTGGCACGTGACTTGGGGGGTTCCAGCAAAAGCACAGTCGCATCCTGTTGATCCTAATAAAAATACAATAATAATAATCATATTTTTTGTCACAAAAGTTACAGCAGAGTAAGTGAGACAGTGTGCTGTTACATCGCTTCAGCAATATTCCAGCCATGTTGCGGCTGAGGATATTGTTCTCATGTCAGGAATAAGACCCCAGCCTTCTCTGACAAATGAACGCTTTAAACTTTAACCTATACAACGGTTACTGTAGAGATGATGTGTATCATTAGATAGAATCTGATTTGTAAAATTCACCACATGCCTCCACAGTATCCCAATAAGTGTAAAATCACAGTACAGTAAGTCCAACTTTTGTGTTAAGTCGGGTCCAGGTCACCGCAAAACATCAACACCGGGCAAAATCAACGTAGTCCAAAAGCATTTCTTGCATGCATTTGCCACAATGCCTTAGTTTCGGAAGTGACGTCATGTCCTGCATCGGGTTCATGACACACGATTGGACGGCTATTTTCAATGTCATGCTCTTTATGAATGCAATTTAGGGTCTAAGGTTTTAATCGTAAATGAATGGCGAACATGCAGTGGCTACTGTTAAATACTGTACTGATAATCGACTTTGTTCAATATTATGATGAAATGCAATGGATAATCGAAAATAAGTAGTATTGTGATACAGTGCACTGGATAATCGAGGCTGTCCAGTACTATGATGAAGTGCAATGGATAATCGAAAATGAGTAGTATTCGATACAGTGCACTGGATAATCGAGACTGTGCAGTATCATGCTATACTGAACCGTATAAGCGAGGATGAGAAGTATTATGAAATAATGAACTGAGAAATCGAGGGTGAGTTAGTATTAATTCGACACATGTCTAAAATTCATACTTTGCTCAAGTGAGCTATAATTAAAATTTTTAATTGTTTCCTACATGTTACAAAAATAACGAGTTGCAGCTTCTGACCTCATACATCAAGCCTCAAATTACAACGACGTCAATCCAGCTCGTTGTCTCCATATATGACCATTTCATATTTTGATCAAATGTCAGGAGAGTGAGAGAACATATACTGTGAAAACAAGCCATAATTTCCAGCTAAAGTTATCATTGTAATGCATGTGTGCGTGCGTGCATGCGTTAATAGTGCTTTGAACGATATAAAAACGTTTCAGCATCGATGAAAACATACTGAAATTGAAACTTACGTTTGTTTCCGCCGATTCTTCAGCTGATGTTGATTTTTTGTTCTTGAAAAGAGTTGTGTCCCCTGAACGTCCGGTTTTCGGTCGCCTCTGCTGTCGCAAAGCAGCCAATTTCACAATGTCATCAGTCATTTGAGGCTATGAAATAGTTGCAGGTATGTCATTAAAAAAATATCAAGAAAACATACATTATATGTTAATATCTACGTTTATCTACATGTTGTAATTGGTATTCATAAATTCCAGTACCATATCATCGTAATGAATTAATCGACTATACTGTATCACATTTCTGAAGGAGCGATTGTGTACTCATTTGTAGAAATGCAGCGTCATCAAAATAGAGTGTCAGGTCATGTTTCGTGAAAGATGAAGCAATTAACTCAAATCTACAAATCATGAACGCATGTATCGAATTACGATGACGATCGTACAACCAGTGCTCGTCAACATACTCCTTTCGTTACAATCTATAGAACGAAATTGCACCCGACACAAAATCAATTCACATTGCACATATCCTTCATAACAAGTATCGAACATTCAGTAAAACGCAGAAAGAAGCCATACCTGGTTTAAGCTCTTAGACGTTTCACGTTCCTCACCTGTCTATTAATAAAACAAAGCCCTTGATTGGCTAATGTGGTCAGATAATGTAACAACCGAAGATGTATTGCATTTGTTACACTGTTTCCAGCTCGAGGCCTGAGTGGAAATCAATAAGCTGGAGCACGGGTATGTCAGTTTTATCCGACCTGATTAGCCGTCGTGGAGTACCTGTCTCTTAAATGGCAGGGCGACTCCGAGCAAATTCCTGCGGACGTCAGAGAAGACACCTGCCACTGACAGTCAAACGCGCGGACGTCGGAGAACACAGACTACTGTGAACAACATTTCTTTTTATGTTTGGATACTGACGGTTCTCAAGGCAACCCTTTCCGTGTGAAATTACGCCTATCTATAATTAACAAATATTGCGGCAGTTTGTTTCTACCAATTCTCCATGTCAAGAACCAACACCATCACCTGAATATGTTTAAATAACGGGATCTCCATTACCACCGATGTCTATATTGATTTGACATAATGTCAAAGGTTTTGAGCGAACGTGTTTAGAAGTTTCTATGGCAACGTGTTATCGACTTGGCAATGCGGACGTAATCAAATCCTGTTCATTAAGCGTCTATTACTAATTCATACTAGTTGGTTACGGTGTGCTATCGGCGGCTGTTTAGACAGATACTTCCAAGGCTACCAGCTGTCTGCCCCTCTGTTATAAGCCTCCTCTGTTGTAAGAGGCACTGACTTTGAAAAACATCAAACAAATATCTTTACACGAAACCGATCTTTTTTATAGATACATGACCAGGATAATATTGATCTGTATTTGTTGCTCTCGTATGTATCTCGTGCGTTGTTTCAGGGGTAACCCATTAGTCTTGGGCGCTTTGTAGAGTTACCTCCCTTATGAGGTACTAATCGTAGGTTCGAATCCCGGTTCGTCCCGATTAGGTTTCTAGTTTTGTCAGCACCATATCCGTAGGTTTCACAAAAGTGGTAAACGTCTCGCACCTACGTCACGTCGAGCCACATAAAAATAGTCGATATATAACTGGAACACTGTTCTAAGCGGCGGTAAACTCACTCACATTTTTACTTTCTAATCATTACTGTCTGGTTTAGGTTAAAGAAACGCGAGACACGCCAGACATGGTGAAAACAGCGTACAATCGGTATGAAAATGTGTCCTAGGTTTTCGAGTGGCCTTTAACGTGACCACGGGCAGTTCTTCAGTTATATCATAGTGTCTTGATGTGGCTGGGAACCCGGTGAGATACAATGATTAGACGTTAGCCACGTTCGTACTGTACCCCAATATGGGTAGTCTGTACCACTGTACCGGATGCATATAGCATCAACCGCCGTCCTGTCGGCAACTTCCGGTCTACATTGCCACTCTTACAGGGGTTCCAGTAGATCCAATGTAATTGCCGGTTTCACCCAAAATTATACATTTTCAGAGACTCAGCGTTACGTGAGTCAACAATATGGGCCTAATCTGTTGGGAAAGAAGGTTTCTCTTTGACAATCTCCAGGAATGTCCAAAACCTACGCCCTCAATGATTGGAAGGTGGTTCCCTTGGATCTCCTGTCCCGACTTGACACTCTGTCTGAATGGGTATTGATCACCATCATCATCATCATCGTCGTCGTCGTCGTCGTCGTCATCATCACCATCATCATCATCATCCCTACATCAGTATGTTCGATGTTCAGGTGTACAGTAAAACAATGTTGGGTAGGATGTCTAAGCAATGGTAGATAGAGAATACTACACGAGGTCTCATTGCATACGAATTATACGAAACGAGCGTCCTTCCTTGCTTTCGCTCGGTCAGATAACATAGGAAGGTCACGAGTTCCGTATAATTCGTATGCAATGAGACCGAGTGTGGTATTTTATTTATTACCCACGTCTAACATGCATTAAATTGACAAAATAGCGTATTTTATTTTTATTTTTATGGTTTCAATCCGAAACCGGTTTCATAAAGAGGTTGCGGAAGAGTTTTGTACTGTAGTACAATATTTGCATGACGTCACACTGTAATGACGTCACAGCCTGGGTAACCAACGTCACGATGTATGCCAGTTGTCATCGCCTCGTACAGCCTCCTACAGTAAACTACTCCGTAGCACCCAGTTTCTTGGTTTGCAGTTGCTTCATTCGGCTAAAACCACTGGTTAATGTTTTTCGACGGATATAATGTCTCAGTTCGACTCATGTCAACAGCGACACGGCAACGTTCGCAATGTTTACATTCCCACAATGCATTTAAGTTGTAGAATGAATGAATTCACGTGTTTGTTATGAATGAAAAAATAGTTACGTAAGAATGTGACCTACTTGAGAGGTAATCGGTTATCCAATCAAATCGTTAGAATCTCAGGTCAAGTCGTTACGACACAAGTCAACGCGATATGACGTACAGGATTAGTATGCAACTACCCATACGTTGACCACGTGGGTAATAAAAATCTATATTTCACATTGATGACTATTAGATATACCCAGCATCATGATACCCGCATGAAACATCATCCTTGTAATGGTACACCGGGGCGGTGGGGTAGCTTAGTGGTTAAAGCGTTCGCTCGTCACGCTGAAGACCCGGGATTGATTCCCAACATGGGTACAACGTGTGAAGCCCATTTCTGGTGTCGACGTCCCCGCCGTGATATTGCTGGAATATTGCTAAAAGTGGCGTAAAACTAAACTCACTCACTAATGGTACACCAGCCATACGGCAGATCTTTGTCTGAAACTCCATTTCCCCGTGTACAGGTGAATTCTGGCATCCACTTGCATGTGGTCTGCCTGTTAACACGGGCGGTGTGATTAGCATACTGGAAATTATTGAAGGCCTTCAGAGACTTGAGACAGACGCTGTTCTGGAGTTGTAGGGCTGCAGTGCAGATAACAAGATTATCGCCGGGCACCTCGTGCAAGTAATCAAATTAGAGACATGCTTTGAAAAAGTACCTCTTACGTATTAGTGCCAATCCATCAAAGGGCGTAACGTAACCGTCCAACACTATTTCGTCAATGTCGCCAGAACCATCAGAAACTGATCTCACCCATCGAACCCGGCCCTTCGGTGAGACGAGCGAGCGCTTTAACCACTAAGCTGCCCTATCGTCATTGATACGCTCTTTAAAGTCTGGAGTGAGTGAGTATGGTTTTACGCCGCTTTTAGCAATATTCCAGCAATATCACGGCGAGGGACACCAGGAATGGGCTTCACACATTGAATCCATGTGGGGAATCGAACCCAGGTCTTCGGCGTGACGAGCGAAAGCTTTAACCACAAGGCTACCTCACCGCCCCTACAGTCTGGCAGTTGGTTAATTTGTGGAACAGCGTTTACATGAATGTTGTTTTACACCGCAACACCATTGCACCTGTATCACGGCGACCTGTAAAAACTCCTCTGGTCCGGTATCACTGTACAGCAGTCCAAACAATAAGCCATTGTCTCCACCCGATCCCCTTATAATCAGCCCTTCCGACTTGTGATCTAAGCTGGTGACTTGTTCAGTTCTTGCCTAGGTCGCTGTTCACGATGTCAGTCACATGGGGGATGGGGGTGATTTGGGAGGCGGTGGGGTAGCCTTGTGGTTAAAGCGTTGGCTCGTCACGCCGAAGACCTGGGTTCGATTCCCCACATGGATTCAATGTGTGAAGCCCATTCCTGGTGTCCCTCGCCGTGATATTGCTGGAATATTGCTAAAAGCGGCTTTAAACCATACTCACTCACTCACTCACTCAGTCACTGGGTTGTCTGGCTCAGACACGATTGTTTAATTACCAACGTCATTTTGCTGGAGTATTGCTGAGTGCGGCGTTTAACAAAATAAATTCTCACATGTATTTCAGGCATCTATTCATAATAAGCAGGTCAGACGAACTTCATTTAGGCACTTTCCCATAAACAGACACAATGTTCTAACAGATTTCACAACCTACTACACAAGGAGATGTACGGCATGTCTGAGACACATAACTGGCAACTTTGAACAACAAACAAAACAAACAAATACATTTAATTTTGTTCTGTCCCATAGTTTGCTTGATGATTGACTCCGCACTCTATAATATTCCTCCATCATGACTATGGACTGTAAATAATACTGGGGTCTGAGCAGCGTCCCGCGTTGTTGTGGTATGACGCTCAAGTCGTAGGGCCTGATCACCCAATCCAAAGACGTACATGGATTGCATTGAATGCAAGGAACATATTCTTTCACGGAGGTACTTGTCATTGATTTTACTCCTGAACATATTCCAGTGAGAATTGGTATAAACTGACTAGATAATTATGATACATTTCAGCCATCTTGGTGCCATCTTTGATTTTCCAACACCAGATGGTGTTGCTGAGCTGGATCCACATCAGGACTGACTGAGTTTGGTTTTACGCCGCTTTTAGCAATATTCCAGCAATATCACGGCGGGTCCACATCAGGAAGTGATGGGAATGATTCAGTGCAAGAGTGACGTTTAGTGTTTTCAACTCTATGTGTACTCGTTTCTACCTAACCACCGCACCATCCATAGAAAGAGTGTGCTTACAGATTTGTTTGCTAAAAAGTAACACATGAATTGACAGGGCGAAACAACGGGGTTTATAGCATTACATCATTGCCAGAGCGTGTATCGTGTAAGTGCGTGTAAGAACACATAGGCTGGAATTCTTGAAACTCGAAGTCCTGGGTACCGTTAAAATATACTACTCAAGAGAAGTTGAGAGAACACCCGATTCTTTCACAGAATTTGGGTTAATTTGTCATGCCATTGCATATTATTACTATTGTTATAATTACAGAAAGCATCTGGGCCCCGTTTCACAAAGCTCTCGTAAGCCTAAGATCTCGTAACTTTTCTCGTAGTATTCGTACTTCCTATACTGTAACTTTGACTTACGATAGTCGTAGCGCTACGAAAGCTTTATGAAACGGGGCCCTAGTGGCCCTTACTTCTTGTGAGTGTTATACATCCCGCCATTTGTAGTTTTAGACAGGTACCGATATTTAGACCAGCATCTCGAGGGGGTTAATGCCGCGACATTTAACTTTATCGAGTAGACGTAGTTCAGTTACCAGATTTCACAGTTTCTATCCTCGAGTATAAAACATTCTCTCCCTTTTGAGAATTATTCGTCAGTTTCTTACAAACGTGAGTCTGCACATCATTGCACTTGTTTCTCAGGCATCGGAGCGTTGCTTTAGATCTTGTGCATCAGCCATTTTTATTGCAAACGCAATCATTTAAATTTCCCAAATAATAATTCCTTCCCTGCTATCCTTTAAAGAAGTGCCCAGTAGTGTGTCCAGCTGTGTCCAGCTGTGTTTTTTCAAGGACAGCAGGCAAAACCAAAACATTCATTTTGAAATATGAATTCTTACGACCCTCCTGACAACTGGGAAGAAACCACTGAGCGACGTGTAGATTCTTA